ATAATTCGAAACAAGGAGAGCGGGGTGGATTAGTCACCCTCGCTACGCAAAACCTATCATTTAACTGCATTTTGTGCCAAGGCTTGCGAACGTCACGCTATGTTTACTAAAAAGAGCCTTGACAAAAAGGTTAACGTGGTTTATCAGCGAGTCGATCATATCACCGAGTCGATCATATCACCGAGTCGATCACTTTTTCTTGGCACAGAACTTTACACCTAAATAAATCAACCACAATATATTAAATTGATTATCGCTCTCTATATCTGACGAACTAGATATATCTATAACTTCTTGACAAGCTCGCGCGTTATGACCAGCTTTTCCACAAGTTCTACAGCGCCGCCTAGAAGGTTGCCCCTCCTTATAACCAACCCCCGCCTCACGCATGTCGCGTCGTACTTGCTCATCTACATCCTCCTGAGCTAACATATCCTGTACATCCTCTACTATAAGTGCCCCTCCTTGGCGGACACGAGTCTTTTTAGCCCTACGGCGTTTACTTAGGGCTTCATTTGCAGCGCGAAGGGTACGGACCTCAGCAGACAAAAGGGTCATCTCATGTGCCATTCGCTCTGTACCCTTTGCTAACGCAGCAACTGTTTGAAAAAGTGGAGTTGGCGAGCTTCCTTGATGACAGGCTATACGATTTCGTACAAGAGTTGATTGTGAAAGGGCTTCAGTTGGGTTGGAAGGGGTCTGGGACACCCAGGGGAGGGAGTTGGCACTACACGTCCGAGGGGGAGTTGGAGTCCGTAACCTTACGTCAAGCTTTGAAAGCACTGCTTGCGGGTTAAATGGTACTAGGCCAGCTCCGCGGAATCCAGACTGACAGTTTAGGACTGTCATTGTTTCCTTGTATGCTGCTGTAAAGGCTAGAAAGAACTCAACCTTTGTAATATGGTTGATATGGGCCTTGATAAACGTCTCAATCTGCCGACCATACGCTCGTTTTAACACACTATAGCACCCAACATCAAGTGGCTGGGTTAGATGGGATGAATGAGGAGGTAGTCCAAGAGTAATAATGTTGTGTTTCGTACAGTAGTCTTGGAACTCAGCCGATTCATGACTCTCGTGCCCATCCAAAACTAGTATTCGATACAGACCCTTTGCACGAGCTGTAGTGTGTTTATCAAAGTGCTTTAACCATTCCAGGCCTGTTTCATTATTTGTCCAACCATTGCTTGTCGGTTTCATAACCCAGTTAGGTGGGAGGCCGCCGTCGGTATACCAGTTGGAGAGATGGTTCTTGCCCTGAACTACCAAGAATGGAGGAATACTCCAGCCCTCCCCATTAATACAGGCAATTGCTGTAGCCCATTCCCGATTGCCTGGCTGAACTGCCTTGCCTCTACCACGTCGGTCTGCACGAGTAACAACCATTCTAGGACAAATAACACCCATCATAAAGCCTGTCTCGTCGAAGTTGTAGAAGTCGGAGTCTGTAACCCCATATTTCGCCCTCATATTCTCTACTAGCCGGAACCATGCGCCTAGCACGTCAGGATCTTCGCATAAGGCCCTCTGGAAGTCGTAAACGCGATTAAAACGCGTCTTAAGGTCTGGTTGTCGTTGTACGAATCGATGGGCCCAGAGCTTGCCGACGCGTCTTCCCCCCCGCGATTCAAGGATAAAATTAGCCATATCTTCTACACCAGCGAGCCGGGGCGCAAATCCTCTGGAATCCATATCCAGTATATACCGAATAATCACTTCCTCTTCTAAGTCAGTCAACTTATGACAATTGGCTTGAGAATCTGGGCGGTAGGTTCGGCCAGCCATTCTGTCGGAAAGAGTCGTATATGGTACATTGTAGATCTTTGCCGCAGAGCGTTTGCTTAGTTTTTTGGACGACCGAATAGCCTCGATAGCTAGAGTAATTCGCGCTTCTTGAGTTTGAATTTCCATGGTAAATAGTTGAAGAAAACGTGTGTTGAAGTTTGAGGAGGTAGTGCCAAGGAAAAGTGATCGACTCGGTGATATGATCGACTCGCTGATAAACCACGTTAGGTAATAGGTAAGAAAACGCTTAAAATATCTCGAAAATAAAGTTTAAGTCTTGTTCTAAAGCAGTTACTTGTTTTATAGTAGAGTGGTTTTAGCGCGGGTTTTTAATAATATAAACAGCGTTTGTTAGTATACATATAACTAAGTTACAACTTTTATGAGTGTTTTATAACCTCGAATTATAAACGATTTATTATAAAACAAGCTATAGAATTTGCTTGTCTCGGGTTCGTATACACGACATGGGAGGGGGTATAGTAAACGATCTATTACCCGATCGGGTACTCGCGAGGCTATTCGCACCTCAGGTCACTATCATAGGCAAGAGGTACGGTATTTGGGTCAAAAAGCCCATAGGGCGCTTGTGAGGCTATTCGTAACCTCGTCAGCGGTGCCTAGGCTACCTAGCGCTTAATTCAGGCCTAACTAATTATACAAAATAGGTGGAACGTTCAGGGTCAGTAGCGGGAATCAAAGAGAAAAGCCCGCGATAGCGTATAAACAATAATCCTACTAAATCGTGGTTGTTATTATTGTTCAACTAAAAAGGACAGATAACTCGGAACAAGGCAGGTGAGCTGCTTAGTCACCCTCGCTATGCAAAACACATCATTTGTATCACATCTTTAATATGACGAGAATTCAAAACATAAATCGAATGCGAGGTGTCTATTCAAAAGCAATGTCAAGTACAAGGTCTCTAAAGGTGTGGCACGGTTACTTAAAACACTTAAATCGATTATAATATATGGGTTTTTTTACAGAATTAGGGTTTTTTCATATTTGTACAAAAGTGGTGGAGTACAAATAGGGGATGGTGGCGGGCAAGAAAAGAGCCCTAGCCCTAGCGTACGCTTCCTGCTCTCGGGGCAGGAAGGATGAAGTTGTTAATACCTGCCCCGCTTCTGGCTTGTGATATCCGTCGTCCTCACGTGATTTTAAAACATATTATTTAACAACACTCGGTCCTCTCCTGTCTCCACAAGTTAAAGCAATAGTGTTTTCAGCACGGATTTTGTCCACTTCTTGGAAGGTGCTCTCGGACGTTTATAATTATAAAAATCCCGCGGCAAAATCACTCTAGTTATTCTAATCATTTTATATAAAATATTGTGTCACGTAAGAAATCTTGTTCTTCCTCCGCCCACCAAAATTAGATGCATTCTAGTAGCTTAGCATTGCTAAGCGGCTAGAGTAGAGCTCAATTTACATATTACTTAGTATTCTACGCGAGGGTGCTCGTTCCCTGTCAAAAAATCCCCCGGGCGGTTTAGGAGATAGTAAAAGTTGCCAAGGGGTGGTAAGCTTAGCTGACCGGCCCCTTGATTATTAAGTACCAAGAAACAAGTGGGTATGGCTAACCCAAGAACCGAAATGTACTCCGTACTCGGTATCCTGGGTTATCAAGCCATTTTTCGACGTATATAGGAAAAGGGGCTGTCGTAGGGCTGCTAGTAGGTAGAATTTGCAGCAAAGCGTAAAGTCAAGGTACTCGAGTAATATAGCTCTTGTTGTTACTGTTCTAACGTTGTTGTGAAAGTTTTCGCGTTCCTACTACGCAAAGATATTTAAAATTAGAAACAAAACTAAACCAAACCATTTAAGCTTAATTCGCAATTGACTGTAATCAAATTAAATCAACTAGACCTATTAATCAAATTAAATTAAATCAAATCTAAATAATTTAGAGTATTAATTGATTAGTTGATTAATTTGTTCCCACGCTATCACTATTCTTTCACTGCTTTCTAATAACTTCTAGTAATTTGAGCGATTACACCGATGATCATGGGCATGATCATGAAGACTTTGAGAATATAAAAACGGTTATCTCGGCTTTAGTGGATAGACTAAGGTGTGAGTGGCGAAGTACATTGGTAGGAACACTTACCACCATTGTTAAATAAGCTTTAGAGCAACAGCTGCAGTTAATCAAGAGTACAAGTATACTCACCCATCATATCAGATAGTATGTCTAAGAATTTCCTAAAGCAAAGAGTCTTAATATATTCTTCTATCTACACCGACACTGAGATATTTCGCTGATCCTGTCTTAGCCAGTGTACATGAATTTGCAAATCTAATGAAACTAGCCTACTTTCACTTCACAATTCGGCGATATAGTAAATGTCACAACGACAAAGGACATTGGGTTTTTGCGTGACAATGACGATGAACTAATAATTCCCATTCATGTCTTGAGACATATGTCATATGAACGGACGCGTGTGTGCGAAAAAATACCATTGCACAGCAAATACTGTTTTCTACGTCAGATAGAGGAAAGGGTACAGTCGCTTTTGAAAATTGAGAAAGTCATACAAAAGCCCAAGAAGATAAGGTGGAAGGAACTGTAGATAAAAAACAGTGGAGACTAAGTTCTAGCAAGAAACTATGTAAATCTAACCGGGAACATCATTGGGAAAGGCAAGGCCATGTTTCTGTAAGATTACCTGATTTGTATGTAGGCATATGACTCCAGTTGGATGACCCAAAAAGTCTTGAATTCCCCAGATAAATACCCATAATTCCTAAACGTCCAAGGGGAATTCATAGGGCTTATCTTTCGAAATCAATTCAACTAAGGGAAGGGGAGAGATTTTTTAATGATCAGTTCCTCGTGGCCTGTGGGTGACTATTCAGTGCTTACTATGCAGCTCAAGTGCCGGACTACTACATTACGTAGATCAGGGTCGTATACCAGAAAAGAATCCATCTACCGTTTTCGTCACACCTAACTGGCAGAATTTTAGAAATGCTGCAAGCAGTTGCTGTCATCAAGAGGGATGAAGATGAAAAAGGTTTGGTTGGCCAACAGGCGAGAGATGGACCCGCTTTTATTGTCCAGAACAGGCAACAACCGACACCAACGGTGCAATCTGTGTGTAATACCAACTATCCATGGCCAATTGGACCTGCCTCTTTCTGAAGTGAGCCCTCACCACAACGCGCCAGGTCTAACAGCTCTTGCACGACCAGGTAAGATAAACATGCTGGTCGAACGACTTTCGCTCCTGCTGGAAACCTCCCACCTGGGGGCTGTTCTACTCTTTCTGGTAGCTGTATTATGGCTTCGTTACGTCCTCGGAAATAAACCTAGGTTCGTCGCCCAATGCAAGAATCACGACAAAGGCAAAATAGTCGAGGCCCCGTTGACGTTTCCCTACATCGTGCCGCTACTAGGGAGTGTTCCTATATCGTACCTGTGGAACCCAAAGGGCTATGTGCTGAACTCAAAGTAAGCACAGCATAATATACGTTCGTGGATCACTGCTCACTGACGAATCACAGCAACTTCTTCCAGAGCCCCCATCCAGTTCGAGTCAAGTTTCTCACTAAAGATTTCTACGTTCTACGCGGACCGGAAAATATTAAAGCTCTTTTCAAGAAATCCTGGACCTGCACATCTATTCCTTTCTCCAAATTTGCCCTTCAGTATGCCTTCGGGTTGCCAACTAAAGCATCTGTTTTATATGACAAGGATGACTCTGGCTATGATCATGTGCCTCATGCTGGTAGCAAAGTCGAAGCCCGAAATCGCATCGACTACCGTTCCTACCGGTGTTTAATCTCATTTCTGGAAGGAAAAGGACGTCAGCCTTTCTGGGAGAGATTTTTCGGCAACATTAGGGAGCAACTGCATAAATTGAACGAAAAGATTGGACCAGAATGAACTTATCATGACGATCTTATAGACATCGTAGTAAATGAGGCTGCGGTCTCCATCTTCAACGCTCTTTGTGGCCCATATCTCCTGAAACTGAATCCGAACTTTCTGCAAGACTACTGGGATTTCGACCGTAACTTGCAAACCTATCTTCAAGGTGTGAGATTGTCAGGATTATGGAGAAACGCCCACTTACATCGGTCACAGGTATCCCTTGGTTTCTTGCTCCGAGAGCATATGCAGTCCGCCACAGAGTGTTGAGAGCAGTTCAAGATTGGCAGCAGCATGCGAGAGACCGTTTCAAGGAGTCGGATATTGGAGATGATGGTGATGACCCATTCTGGGGAACCAGTTTCTTTCGGGAGAGGCAGAAGATGTTCCTCGAAATGGACGGGTTCGATTACACAGCTATAGCGTCGGAGGACTTTGGGGCAATTTGGGCGTAAGCAGCTATGTGCATGCCAGAAATGATGTATCTGCTAACCCTGGCATGTAGAATGCGAAATGTTATTACTGCGACCTCATGGACCCTATTCGACATATATCGAGACCCTGAACTACTGGCCAGCTTAAGAGCTGAGGTTGATGGTTGTGTATTGAAGGGCACCAAGGTTGTTCAATTTGACATCGACCAATTGCTTTCCCTGCCAATGCTGAAAGCTGCTTCCGCCGAGACGCTTCGACTTCGCATGCATTTTTATATCATCAGGATGACAGACCGGGCTGAAATTAACATTCGGAAGTGGGTTATCCCAGGCGAAAGGTCATTGTGACATCCACGACAGTTGCACACATGGATTCCAAAGCATGGGATACTGGTCTGAACAATATTAATGAGCATCCCCTAGACCAATTCTGGGTTGGACGGTTCCTCAAATATCCATTGGCAAATACTGAAGGTTATGGGAAGCCACTCGACTATACATCTTCTCCAACATTCTCGACGAAAGATCTCGAAGGGTCGTGGATTCCCTACGGCAGGGGGCCGAGGCAATGTCCCGGTAGGCATTTTGCGAAACGTCAAATACTACTTACGACGGCCTTGATGATACGACTATTCGACTGCGAAATATTGAAGGGCGGAAAGGATGTGAAGGAGAATTTGACCCTCCATGGGTTTGGTGGTGGCATGTCTCAGCCAGCTGGCAAAGTACCCATGAGAATGCGTCGTAGAAACACGGCAGACATGGCTGCATAGAGACATACAAACGTTCTTGCGGAAAGAACCACTGAGCGAGTCTTCTCTGCTGAACACGCAACCCAACTAAGTATAGTTAGACACTGGTTAGTACCTATGCAGATAACTGGTGGTTGCGACGGGAATAATGTGTAAATAATGGTTCTCATGGATTTCTACGTTTCTTTCACCAACTACGTGTATATCAATGGTGATTGAAGCGTCGGCATTCATGGATTAAATTAAAATCCAGGTCATCTTTCTGCTTGAACTTCAACCATGTGTCTCAGCTGCACGATGCCCTAGTGGAACCCTGAGAAAGTTGAGGAAGCCACCACGTGACCTGTGACTCCTTAGCCAGAAGCAGCCCAGATGATCTCCGTTGATGGTCAAAAAACAGCTTGAATCAATGGTGATGTGTAAAATTCTGCTTGTTCTATAATTTCAAACCTCCAACTCTACTTTCACAGCCAAGATCGAGATCTCACCAAATCTCACTACACGTGACTCGCCTTGTGCATTTCCCCTGAGGGATTTCAATGTTAATTCTTTCTCGTGATTCTTTCTAGAATTACCATGCATCGCACAACTCACGTTATTCTATGACATGCCTCATTTCTAGAAGGAGATAACCTTCTCACACAAGCATAATTCCTCTCAGAAGCTTTTGACACAATGTAGATCGAAAACTAAGTCGTGAAAGATAGCAAGGTCACAGCAAAGTCACATCAAAGAGGTTTCAGAGGCCCAAAGATTTCTATTTCATTCACACCCCCCAATCTGGGCCGCAGAACAGTGTAATTCAGAAGACATCCCAGGAGTTAGAAATCCAGCACCACAGAGTAGCATCGCCACACATTCGACCTTTGTCAGCCGACTTGATGCATAGAAAGACGAAGGCAGGAGCTATTGGGAGGCCGTAACATGCGACGAAGTATACCTATTCCAGTCGTTTAAGTTGGTGTTTATCGTACTTATAGTAAATGTGAGATAAACATTCAACGCCATTGCCAAAGTCCAATAAGCATCCGCTAGCATGAACCTGAAAGATGTCAATTGGCTGTCATCGGATAAGATGGGGATTACATACATCTGAATCAGAAAAGCTTGAAGTGAACACACGGAGCCATCAATGTTTTTGATATGGCTTCTCGACATGTGCACACAAACAAAGGAAAAAAAACCTTCGCAGGTCAAGGGACTGTTCAGCATTCAAAAGGCACCCTCGACGTGACGGAGTGAAAAAAAGACGAACTTATTTTTTAAGGCGAGGCGCCAGCAACCACGCGAATCGCACCAGGAGCCAAGGTGCCAGTGGCAGGGGAGGCGAAGGCGGGTCCAACGGCGCCGTCTTCGCGAAGAATTGAGTTACGTCCGACCATCACGTCGAACGTAACGCAGCCCCCCTGGGCAATGAGGTTCTCCAATGCTGGAGAAACCTCATCACCCTCCCAGTCGGTGATGCTGACCCAGAGGCCAGAGGGGTAGCAGAGCTGGGCCTGCCGGGGAAGCACGAGGTGGTTGCCCGACCACTGTGACGCGCAAACACGCAATATTAGCCATCATTCTTGGATTTCTAGAAGGAGAGAAGCGAGTGGAAGTACATACACCTTGGGCGAGCAAGGCATCGGTTGCGAACCGAAGCACAAGCGTCTTAACCTCCTGGGAGGTAGACGAGCCAGGCGCACCGAACGGAACCAGCACCACCTTGCCCTGGTCGGGCACACACTCCTGGGAGGAGAGGAAGCGGAGGTTGAGGGGGCGGTGGTGGCTTGGGCCAGGAGGGGAGTGGTTGTAGTCCACAAGCTGTGGACGAGGAGCGAGGGCGCGGGCACCAGGGCAAGACATTTTGTACTGCGTTGGGTGGTTAGCAACCTCTGTCGCAAGATCGACCAGGCAAAGGAAAGCAGAGAGAAAGACTCACAGATCGGCCCAGAGAGGACGGGTGGTAGCAGAGCAGAGCAGAACAACAGAGATCGGCGGCGAGGGGGGAAGGGCAGGGGAGTTGTTGTGGACAAGGAGGAAAAGAGTTTTCGGATGGTGGGAGGCACGTTGAAAAGGACAACAAGGAACAACAGTTTCTCTGATCCGGTTGCGCTAATGGTTCATCTTGCCCAAAGGTTCTGAGATGGCCAATTACAAAGCAGTTCGCTTGCTCTTACTAACTGAATAACGACCAGCCAGTTTGAGCGAGATTTGACGACAGTGAATTCAAGCACCCTATCGCAATGCTCTTTGCACCTTTTCAGGGTATCACTCGGAGCGTACAAAAGACTGTTCCAGAATATGGTTGAGATTGATCGCGAGTCAGCTAAGAAGTCCTAGAGCGAGCTATTACTTATACACAACAAGAGGCCACGCTATTCCCCATTAGGCAGCTCCATACTATCTCCGATTAGGCAACTTCAACCCACTATTGCATTCACTAAGCGAAGCACCAAAACACTATACCGAGCCACATTCACGCCCTCACACACCTACTTGAGGACGTACTATGTGTTTGTAAGGAGTATTCATTGCTAGAGATTAAATTATTATAAAAGAACGATTTCCTTACGTAGCTTCTATAGGTTTTGTTTACAAAATCTACCAGGAATGATACATATGAATCTGTTCATTGATAATTGTATAGCGAACCAGCTAAATTTCTATGAACTTTTACATAGCGACGTAGTACTACAGAGATGAATGTTTCTAAGTAACTCGCAAGCTAATTTATATTAATAGAGTTTTCAAACTAACTAAAGAAACTATAACAAACAATTTTTTTTAATGTGAGTTAAAAATAGCTATTTCTGTAAATCAGGTTTTATAATTCACTTTACCTGTTAAGCTGAATTATCTTGAACATATTACTAAACTTGCACCTAGAGCAAAGAATGATTATATCTAGAGGTTGCTTACGTTATCTATTTATGCTAACTAATTAGAATAATCGTAATAGAGAAGAGATTGTTGGCTATCTTTTCAAGCTTCTATTAAATGTCTATTTGCGTGATAAAAATTAGTACTATGTTTGTAGACTGTTTTCATTTAATTATACTAATGAAACGCAAAGAATACAGGAAGTGTTATTTTCTAAAATTAATACGAATTGAGCTATTTTCCTACATACTCGCAGCCAAAAAAGGCTCGTAGATATTCTTACGCCTGTACAGTAAGTCAAAACAGCTGATTCTCTAGACTATTTCAGGTATTTATTTAATGACAAGTTTTTAGCTAAGAGAACCAAAACATTTTACGAGTAGATAGTATAACATTCACGAAGTACAGTATTTAGTACGCTTAGTCTAATATAATGACATACGTATTTATCTTGGCTATATAAGAATAAAAGCCACTTGTTATATTCGTTTCTGTGACGGTTCTGACCGTCACGTGCCATTCATATCACGTGGCTTCCTTAGCGAACCACATTGTATTTAGACTCAAGCTCTCTCGAGCTCTCCTCTTCTCCTCAGCTTAGAATCTTCGAATAGACAGTTCTACGATTCCATAACCTACACCTTGGACGCTCCTTGAGCAACACATCGTACGTGTCGTCACAGTTTCTAGGAATATTTTGTTCGCGTCGCGTAGGTTGTCTATAAAGACACACTGAAGGTACAGTCCTAATTTCAAGATAACACAGCTTGCTTATTCTGTTGAACAGTTTCAGAGCTAGTATGTGACAGTTTTTGATTTAGTGAATAAGGGTTCGCTTAGCGAAGTTGCGGGTGTACCCTTCCGTAGATAGACAAATACCTAAGGAGTGCGAAGAGCGTCTCTCTTCCCTCCTTGCGAACTATCTATTCCTTGGTCCCCACCATAACATAGTAGTCAAGTCCAAGGTAATTGTGTTCCTGATTTTGATGTTTTCAATATTTTATAGGACTCGTCGACTATGGCATCGACTTCTGGATAAACACAGTTCACAGTCTAAGCCCCTCCTCCCCCCCCCTTTCTTGATGTTTTAGATATCTACCAATATGTCGATGTCATAGGGGACTCGCTTTACTCTTCCTCACAAAACCTCAATTAATAGAAAAGACTAGAGAAAATTACTAGTATTACTCTGGAAAGTATGATGTAGAGAGATCCCGAATCCAAGCTATCCTCGAGACCACGAAAGAGGAAACTGCAGGATGGCGATAAACAGGGGTTATCCCTTCCAGACAGGATAGTGCCAAAAAAAGCGTGCACTCCAAAGTGGAGTTATGGTGTCCACTTCTACGGCATTTTCTCCATAAATCAAAGTCATTTAGCCAACCAGGTCGCGTTTCCAAGTATTTAAGCCTCAATTCGACCCATTTATCGTATCCACCTATATCCACTTTGTGTGCACGTTTATTTTGGCACTATCCTGTCTGGAAGGGATAATTGGGTTTACGCAAACATTTCCAGTAAGAATTGTTGATTTATGAAAACCAAAAAACCAGCCCGGACAGCCTGCAAAAATCGCAATACGATTCTCTGGTCCATGGCTGTCAGATAGCATGTATAACAGATACAAGACCCCACGTTTCTTATTAAGCACCGGTAAGCATGATCATCGCAGCTTCGGAGTTTCAATCCGGCAGAAATGAACTCACCATCTCTTATACATGGTACGTGAGAATATCGGTCTACTCTATACTCCTTCCTTCCTGTTGTAATCTGGAAAGCCTGCCAAATGACAAAAAGCGATCTGATACGCGCTGTTCAACTGTTGGTTGTATTTGCCTGGACGAGTTTGCCATGTCTGCTCCCTTCCATAACCTCCATTATTACGGCGTCATCCAATAATCCACGACTCGGGTACCAGGAACATCCCGAGATGCATCTCGCAATGCTTAATTCCATTTCAAACAAACATGTCATGTTCCAAGCGGGGAACCTCTCGAATCTGGAGCTGGTCCATGGTTCACGCGGGTATGAGAAGCCGGAAGCTTGTCGTTCTATGTCGGCTTGTAAAATATCATAATCACTATTCCATCCATTCGCATGTTTAATAAACCAATGTCAGATTCCAGATCAAAATAATTTGCAAGAATCCATTTTATTTTAAATCTCACTCGACACCAGCAGTGAATCGGGTAGTTGACAGAACTTTCCACTTCAATCAGGTCCTGGGTCAACATGCTCAGTTCCACGGTCGTCCTCCGTTTCTTCTATCTGATAGTGTCTTTATAGCACCACATATCCAAATGTCTCGTTTTCGTTAATTCCGCTACCCATAAATGCGCCACCTATAACACCTTGTTTAAGGCTGATGCTATTACATATTTAGCGAGGCAAATTCAAGCTGACCTCATGCAAGATGCCTCGGAGGTTGGGTATCAACGCCAACAATATACAACAAGAGTCCATTTCAAGTCCTATCGTCATTTCACCACCACTAGACATGGGAAGAAGTGTCTTGATTTCAACTCGAGCGTCAGGGACAAAGAAAGACTGCCAGGGTAGATCGTAGAACATTTAGAATGGAACCTACAGGCCTAGTAGAGTATTTACTTGGATGAAGAAATACAATTGTGTAATAAATATGGAATGTGAAAATTGAATATCACGGAATACGTCCACACATGTATACCACCACGACTTTGAAATGCATCTAAAATCAGTGCCTACTGAGTAAAGGCGCTACATTTGATAGTAGTCAAAGCGCTAGAAAATGGATTTGGTGCTAAATTACAATCCTCTGAATTTTCTTTCCCAGCTAGTTCGAGCAAAACGGCAACTTTTATGACCAAAACCTTTGTATTATCATTTATTTTTCTTGGGTTATGCCTAATTGCTTTCCTTCTCTCCGCTCTTGACTCTCTCTGCTGCCCCTCTAAGCCCCCGCAGACTCCCTCTCTTGACGTCTGCCTCCCTGGCCTCTCTTGCCATCCCATCCCGCCTAGGCTTTTGACCCCAGCAAAGTTTGCGGAATATCCTTGCTGTGCGTCGCCTAGGGGTACACCGAGCCTTGAATTCCTAGGTCTGCCACAGGAGTTGCTGAGGGAATTAAAAAGAAACGATGCCGACATCCGTATCTCTCTCCTCTCTTTCGACCTAATATCTGGCGAGCTGCCATTGGCTGCACTTCTTTCTCAGTAGCAAACTACAAGACGGCGGCGCCCTCCGGAATAGTTGGAAGACGTTGAGGCTCTGGGGGACCGAAAAAGTCAAAATAGGGCTTCTGTTGTTTCACTGTGTTTGGACGTGCTTGCCAAGAGGGGTCCTCATAACGATTTGGTCCGGCTGGCGTTGGGTCTTTCATATGTTTCGGTGGCGCATGGTGGACGGGCTTTGGCTTTGGAGCATGCACATGAATAGCTGGGTCAAGGAAATTGAGGAGGTTCATCCTCTTCGAGAGAGTCTCTTTGCTCGATCCATCAGCTTGCGCGTTTGTTGCCATCCCCGGTGAAGCTGATCGCTCCAAGAGCTGAAGTGGGGCATTGTCGCGTGCTTCGAGGTGCACAGGAATAGCAGCAGCAAGAGTAGAAAGAACTGCCGTTGCAGCGAGAAAGTTAGGAAACAACATTATGGAAGAGCTGCTGAGGTATAAGCGATGATAAGCGTGGTGTGAGTTAGATAAATGCTGCAAAATAAAACGAATGTATATTGAATGTAGTGTTACGACGACAGACAATTCAAAAAAAATTGAGAGAAAGAAAGAAAGTAACGACAGTGGTGAGAAGCAGAAGAAAGGGGTGGGTGAAGAGTCTGGGTGCATCAAAGGACCTCTGGCTTATATATCTTAGTTCATTTTCATACAACCCAGGGTATCCCATATCAAAGGATCGTAAATTACGTAAGATTTTCACACGTTCTAAGGTGGGGGGCTAATTCTAGCACGCTGATAATTTCGATTAATCCATAACAAGCAAGTAATGCAGGTACTGTAGATCATTAGCGGAGAAAGGTTTATATATAGTGACTGAATTTGAATGGCGCATGGGGATAGCCAATCAAAGCTACGGATTCGACAGCTCCGCGGGAACGCCGCCCAGCTTTATCCCCATAACAATATGCTTAGCCATAACCAAGAGCTTGAGGGCCGCATGGCAATGATTGTATGGCAGTGATTGTATTTTGTAACCATCCACTTTTCCTACATCGAGGTCGCAATTCGCCTGGATTCAAATAGAATAAGCTAATACATGTTTCTCGCTTATATTCCATGTTTCTCGTAACTCCACAACTTCACAGCTTCACTGAACAAGAACTTGTTCTGATTTTATTGGGCCGGCGCTATAATTTAGCGGGGTTTTAAGTCCGAGCGTTTTAACCTATTTCTATGCTTCAATCATTGAAAGTGCCACTGTAAAGTATGAGAATAAGTATGATATCGATGGATGAGCGATGATGGTAATTTCCCAGACAGAAAACTCCCGCGTAAATCGAAGTATTTCGTCCGCCGCCGTCCTTGGTATGAGCTAGAACTCGGATGAGGGTTGGCAAGAGTGGGATATTCGTATATGGTTCGTATCTACTGTCGCATATGTAAAGAGGGTGGATCCTCCACCCTAAATGTGGAACGAATATAGGTGAGTATAACCTACTAGTTTTTAATACATTTATACGGCTATTGTGCTGTTGCTAGACGATTTCGAGCGCTTTATGCATAAGAATTAGCCAGACTCAATACAAGTAACTTAAAATAAGCAACGGTATCTGCATATAACCCCTACCTATACTCGTTTCGCATTTACGGCGGATTGTCTGAACTGACCACCCTTTGATTCTGGGATTTCAAGTAGGTAGTAGATTATTTTAGTCTTAGTGTCTAATGGACGGTTGCTTGAACTTTGCCGTGGTACGAAGTATATCGATGGGGTAAGAAATGCTGGGGTTGGCGGATGAAGTACGGAGGAGTGTACTTCGTTGAACGGTGTGAACCAGAGGCTCCTACTCGCTAGAAGCCCTCTTCTCAAGCGTCGAAGATTGCGATGAGCGAGAGCTTTGTAACGAATACTCAAACTGGCTAACTAAACTTGGCTGGGTGTTCGCTGGTTGGTATGCTATGATAAGAAGAAGACTATCGGGTTGTTCACTTGGAAGTGAACTCGTTACTTGTATCAAAGATGTCAAACTAATATGATAAGATTGATAACTAAGTTGAGCACGAAGCTCCTATCTAATGGCAGACGTGCCAGTATTATATAGAACCCTCGTTCCCATGGTCGCCATGGTCGAACAGTCGCCCATGGCCGACACGGTCGACTCGTCGGCCATGTCGCTGGTCACGTGATTCCAACCCAAGGAAATCCCTGGATCGCTTAGCTAGCCCAAACGATCCCTTATTTGCTATAAGTCTATAGATGTGCTTGACCTGTCAGGACGCCGCCTGGTCTTCACTTATCACGTGTGCACGTGATTCGTGACATCACTCCAGTGCTTCCTACAAGTACAAGACCAATTTACCACTGCCGTGCCTAAGTTGTGCTGAGCAAGTTACCCAACCTGTAGCACACCTAGGCATTATTACGGCTGGGCCGATTACTTGGATTCAGCTGAGCCGCTATCAGCCGAATCTTGATTTCGTCTTTTGATATACCTCGGCATGCCTAAACGAATGCTTGTTCTCGGAAGTTATGGCTCAAATAGGAAGGCGCAAGGTTCAAATCCAAGATGTATATACGTGTAACGAATACTCAAACTGGCTAACTAAACTTGGCTGGGTGTTCGCTGGTTGGTATGCTATGATAAGAAGAAGACTATCGGGTTGTTCACTTGGAAGTGAACTCGTTACTTGTATCAAAGATGTCAAACTAATATGATAAGATTGATAACTAAGTTGAGCACGAAGCTCCTATCTAATGGCAGAAGTGCCAGTCTTATATAGAACCTTCGTTCTACTGGATCCCTTCTGGATCCGTGGATCCATCGGGGTCCATCACGTGACAACAACCAAATGAAATCCATGGATCGCTTAGCTGGCCTAAGCAATCCCTATTTGCTATAAGAAACCTGGATGTGCCTGTCGAGGGTTGCGCCTCTTTATTATGACAAGTATCACGTGAGCATGTGATTCGTGACAATACGACGACGAGGAGATACGCTCCGTACCTACTATTTTCATTTTAAACATTACATGCCGCTTGACCCATGGAACGCTAAGGGCCTGTTTTCCGAGACGATATTGAGCCGCAATATCGTCGAATGGCATATTATGTGGGCCATATTTGGCTCTCCAAGACACCGTCCACGTACAGACGCCAAGTGCCCAGTAAACTCTATTCCTAGCATATTGAGGCACAATATTCCTCCCACTAAAAGACACGACAAAAGGACTTATTGCTCAGGACCAATAAGTGGACCTCAATATCGTCCTTACGAGCGTTCTACATGCCCTATTGCTATACATTTCAGCGTATAGCCTACTACCTAGGCTACAAACTACTAAATTCCTGTCTTTACAAGTATGAACTTTTAGTTTTAGGGAGTAAACAAAGTAATTGCTATCGAGTACGCTACCTTATATTATTGTCCGCCTACTTAGGGTTTTATGCCCTATTAGGCTCTATTCCCCTGAAGCTACAGCGTATGTGCCCTGAAGGACTTTTTGAAATTTTCCTGTCTTACGAATCTAGCTTGTGGAGCACGAGGGCCACTTTTGCCCCACGGTCCTGTGGATTCGCCTTGTGGACCTTCCAAGATATAGAGATTGTGTTGAAATATTGTCGGAAAACAGGGCCTAAAATTATCGAGTCTCAATCGACTCAATATGTTTTATCGGGTCGCCAAATGGCAATTGTAATCCAATCTTTCTGCGTAATTCTCGTTTCCGTTGATTGGCGGGGCGAGAGTCAAAAAGGCTCTGGATAGCTCAAGAAGAGTGTTGAGGTTAGGTTTGTGGTTAAATTTTACTCAGGGTTTTCGTTGGGTTTATTTTCACTGTTGTGATGCAGTGGTTTGTAGTGTACACGGCTGCTACATGAATTTAGGAAATGTTCAGCTTAAGGCTACAAAATTGTCACGAACCAAGGAAGCATTGGAAATTCTCATGGAGTATAGAGAATCGAGCGTGGAACATAAGAATAGTAGAACCACAAAAATATATTGTCTAACCATGTATGCATAGTATGAACCAGAAAACACGTGAGCAAAAAGCTCCACAAGGGGGTATCTCATAATCGCGACAACAGAATAGGAACCCGTTCCTCGCTAAACAAAAATCAACGCTCAAAATTAATACACAGTCTATGTCGTCGCTTCAAATACTTGAAATCGTTAAACACATAACACCAAAGCCGTCATCCAAACAACGACCAATTATATCCACAAACTCATAAACATTCCCGCAAATACGCACCCTATCGAGCTAGCAGCTAGGGTCGCCGCATGACCAACCTGTACCAAGCTTGGAATGGGTGCTGCGGTTGGGTTTAGCAAGCCAGAAGAAGTAGCTGCTCCTCTTGATGTCGTAATAGCTTTAGAGGGGTTCATGATGGGGTTGGGATGTTTGTTTGTGGCCGAAAGCGGGATGGTGGCGTTTGCTACGAAGATAGCTGTTGGAACTGGTGGAACGTACATGTCAAGTGATCTGATGATTGGGGTCTCGAGTACTACCATATACCGTGGGTTGTCGATGATGATTCTCTGTGGTGGCGTGGGAACGGGTTCAGACATATCTGCTGTAATTGAGGCCGGAATACCACTGATTGGAGTTTGAACAGACGCTGCTGTCGAGACAGAAGGGAACTCGGTCTGGTCAATGGGACAGACGGTTACGTATCGAACCACTGGCACGGTTTGAACCAGCGGGACCTGGAGATGTGTGGGACAGTAATCCCACATGGATTTGCAAGATGTGACGGTGAAGACTTCGTCATCGTACAAAGTACGCGTAGTGAATTCCACGGTGGTTGGTGAAGGCGATGGGGATGAAGATATCATGATCGTCGTGCCACTGGGTGTGACGGATGAAGAGTTGTTGAGAACACTCGAAGCCACGATTGAAACGGGGCAAATGGTTGTTGTGACAATGATTTTGCTCACCACCTGCTCGACTCTTCCAGAGCAATCCGTTGCGTGGGGCGCGCAAGTTGTGCGTGTGGAATAGGAGGTTGAGGTGACGGTCGAGGTTGTCATTGGGAGGGTGTTGGAAGTACCAATGTTAGGCGAGACGGTTGGACTGGCGGTAGGGACCACGTGACGAGCAACAAGGCCGGCAGTATGAGCTGGACCAGCGGGTGCCGATGCAGGCAGTTCCGGTCTCGAGGTTGGGATGATGGCCGCTGTGGGAGTAGCATGATGTTTGAAGCAGGTCTTTCCCAAGTCGAGTGTCACAAAGGTAGAGATGAAGGTTGGACCAATATTGAGATTGAATCCGTTCTTGTCCACTTCGGCAATGGCAAAACCTGCATAATCCTGGAACATGGCCTGTGACAATTCCAGCGTGCAATTCGAGACGGCTCGGGGCTCGTAGGTGAGTTTCAATTTATACTGCATCAGATCGTAAAAGACACCAGCCGCAATGTTGACGCCCACACCGCCGACTTCCACGGCCGCAGCAACCTGCAGCTTGAGACGCAGCCAGGCAGTGAAACCGATAGAGCCACTATTGAACTGGACAGGAATCTCTTGGACCGACGCACCGTCGCTAAATAACCCGTTAGTAATCTCACAAATGACCGGACCCGAATGGACCTACAGAAACATTTCGAGGATGTCGCCATTGATGGCATCGAGGACGTAGGTGATATCTTGTGGGAAAACCACATCCCATCCGAACGTGAAATCTATTCCAGCACCCGGACCCAAGATGAGACTGAGACTGAGGATAAGACCAAGCTTGTTTTTTTCGTCGATTTCAATCCCGAGTGGTGTCTCGGATTTGAACATAGGGATCACATAAAATCCACCCGCATAGAAAGCGGCCTTGATCACGAAATGGGCGCCAAGATTCTTCATGTGGACTCGGATAGGTAGATTGATCGCATCTTTGATGATCTCAGTTGCGTTGTGGTGGTCGTGATGCTCTTTGATTAATTTCAATGGGTTCAGTGCCTTTTCATCAACCTCTATGCCGGAGCTAAAGACCTCAATGGTGCCAGTAGTTACACACGAAACGCAGACAACTTGGTAATATAATCCTCTCCAGTCCATGTGCCCTTTGTCATTCTTCTTTCCGTGTCCGAGTTCTCTGAAAGAAGGTCAGCTCTAACTTGCCTCAAAATCGCTATTCAAAAGACGTACCCATAAAGCAAAGTCTTGTTTGAAGGAAAGGTATGATTGACGCTGAAAGTTTTCCAATGTTTGAATTCGCCATCAACATGTTTGAGTGATTTGTCATAGACGCTAATATGACTTGCGTCTGCTGGACCAACGGTGATAGAATGAGCATCATCTCGCATGACAACAGCCGAAGACAGAACTGAATTGGCCCCCCAAATAGCATAAAGCAAAGCAGAAAACCGCATCGTGAAGAAGAGAAAATAAAAGAAAGTAAGAAAGTAACAAGGAGAAGAAAAAAAAGAGTGTGAATTCCTGAAGAGGAAGGTAGAAAAGAAGGATAACCAAAGGTAAAGAGCCTCTTTCCTACAATGGCCGAAGACGATTATATATATTATGCAAGTGGGGAGCAACAGTTCATCTGAACATTTGCCTGTTTCAACCAAGCTAGTGTTTGAGGGGCTCACATGGAGCCGAAATGTAGTTTATCTCAGGGTATCCCAGCGTTCCAAAATAAGACTACCCTACCCCAGCCATTCTTGGTGGACTTTGGTTTCAATGAACATGACAAGCCTCTGAAAAGAGGGCGCGATTTCCCCGGCTTTACGGCTTCAATGTTCTCGGGTCGATCCGCTGTGACCTTTGCCCCTGTTCGGTCACACGGCCACTATTCGGCTCACACGGCCCCTCGGTCTAGTCCTTAACCACTACCTACAAGCATCTCTTATCTTTTGTGGGCCGAAAGTGTCTGGGAGTCTAAAAAGGTGTGCTTCAATGCTTCATGGACCTGACTCATGGATCGGTTAAGCGAAGTTGAAGCCATCAAAAGTCTCGATACTAAACAGAATATGGTCGATAGCGAATATACCAGGAATATAAACGTCAATATTCTTTTACAAGATTCCTTGGCATAGACGACGACAAGGTCACATACTTGAGTGTTGGAATATACCGTCTAGTTGCTTATATGGGACTCGTAGTGGACGTAGAAGCCAGTAATCCATGTCCCGAAGGTCTAGTTTCCTACTAAAAGATGTTAAATTTACATTTGTACTTAGGATTACCTGTATTCAACAATTCCTTCGGACTCAAGACACCTTGATATAAGGGTATACTCTACAAGTATATCTCGGTTATATCCTTCAATTTTGTAGTACAAGAGAGACATTGGGAACTAGAAAGCCGAGGGATATCTATTTGTAAAGTATATCGTCAATTCGCCTAAATCTCTACGAAAAACAATCGGGACTAAATCCTTAAGAATATGAACGAAAATTTCCTGTTAGCGGGGATCGTTGTATTGATTCTTTATTGTATTTGCAACCTTACGAGCGTTTTTTGTTCCTGGGAGAATTAATGTGCCAGCGACCTACGGAGTACTTCTTTCTTTTTTATGCTAACAAGGCGTGGGTTGGAACGCTAAGCGAGGTTCCGATTCAACGATTTCGAGCACTTTTCAAGTCAAATTCCTGTAAGTTAATCATTCGTCTTTTGTCTCCTTCATATCCTTCTACTCATTCTTGAGGCTATTCATACTGTCGCTAAGGTTTTGGGTAGAGATAGGGAACCCCGCCAGCATCGTACCCACTTTCTTGTTAGAAACATTGACTTGCATGAAGATTACCGTGATACTACCTAGTGAAGTCGCGATTCGCGAACGATCCAGCGGATGCCATTCTCTCGGTTTCCCCTTGAAGGGAGGAGTGGGGTTTGGGTTTGGTTCGTCTCAGCTTAGTGTGGGGTTGACCTAAGCTCCACTCTGCTGGTCGATGTTCTCTGGGAGTCACCCTGGAAGAACTATATGCAGACTATATCGGAAAATCTCTCCGTGTTACCCCCTCACTCGCGAAGATGGAAACTTAGCAACTGCTATAACCTTAAACATAAGTATTGATGTAAAGTGAGTGACCTAGAGTTCATATAATCTTTAGCAATAGCACACTAATATCACCATTTATACAATTTTAAGCAATTCCAGTACACTAAGGCTCTCCCCAGAATCTACGGCGCATAACTGAATCTTGCCGTACCGATGCTCAGGGTCCTTATCGTGCTATTTTGAGGTACCGGTAAACGATCGTCATCGGACATATGCGTGGTTCTTGGCCTGGTAGCATAGGCTTGTTCAACCCCCGCTATCCAAGGCATTTGAGGCTCTCATGACACGTTCCATGAAGAAATCCACCATCCATTCCCATAATTGTAGCGCACATCCGAACTTCCAGGTTAGAAAGCTTCTAGAAGCGCGGACAAAGTCCAGTTCCACATACCTGGAAATTCTGAAGAGATGACTACCCATTGCCAACGATGGCATGGAGAATGTCAATGCTGACGAAGGGGTTTACTTGTACGAGACTACAATCCACAGATGTCATCATGATGCGAATGCCCTGATTTTACCACTGTGTAACCAGGTTCATTGCACTGGCACGGTGAAGTTGTGTGTGGATGTTCTCCGTGCACACATCCATGATCCCTTCCTTTCCACGCGGAGGAGAGGGAACCTTGGAACCATTCACCTGCAGGAGATGGTCACGCGACGTTCCTTCGAATCCGTCTCGCGTACCCTCCCACTGGTGCTCCGTACTCGAGTACAGTCCTTCTAAAACGACCCTGTGTCCCTGACCCGGCCTCTCCAATTAACAGTCGGAACAGTCGGATGATCAGACTTGGACTCAAGAGGTATTCCTTTGTAGTCGAAATCCATAAGCCAACGCAGTGAGTCGTTCGGGACCGGTAGCTCAGTGGGTTGAAAAATAACACTCTGTAAATATACCCAAACCCTTATCTTTCGCTTGTGGAATGTGGGTCGAAGGATGGATCATATTGAGGCTCAAGTTCTCAACCAAGCGCGCCCACTTTTCAAGCACCCAGATCAAGGGTACACTTCCAAGGTTGAGCTTGCAAAGCGAGGGACACGGGCACATGCAATTGTGCACGTTTGAACTTTGAAGCCATCTTCGGTCGTGCCACTCTCGCTGCAATTGACACAACTGATTGGCCTTCACGTCTCACGGTCCACTTTCGGGGGATTTGAGCACGCGACAATCAACCGACCGTCAGACTTGAGGAGATTCCAGTTACATGTACTGTAAATTACATTACAGCGTTTCCAAGTCGGTAAGCGCGACCACGAGTCATCACATACCGTGATATCGCGTATAGAGTCGCTTACGGTAGGGGCTGGGGTTGGGGTTAATGCTAACCAAGTCCAACTTCTACGAAGTAGAGCGCAAGCGCACTCAGACTGTAGTCATACCCCTGTCTCCCCAGAGAGCTCTTTTAATTTTTACTCTTTAGACTCTTGTGCTTTCCCCGTAAACTCATTCCCCATGAATTGGAACTATCACACTCGCATTTACCTCCTCGGCCGCAGCCTCAGTCGAGGGGTCCGCTTGGGAAAAAGCATAAGGGTATAACTGAATTGTTGGAATTCTGGACGTCCTTTGAGACAGTGTGCGAGTCTGATATTAAATTTACATTCACATCATTTCTACCTCAAGAACGCAGTGCACTGTGCCGTGGAAGGGCCCTTTCAAAGCCGATATGCAGTTAGGCGAGGTACTTGTACTCCGTAAAGAATACTTATTCCCGTTCAATACCCGAAGGCCTCTCAATGTGGACTGCGGACAGCGGCCTATTTCGAGCATCGGCACTGACTTCAGGCCAATAAGCTCAAGCTCAATCTCTCGATCTGGCACTGTAATCTTGGAGAGTGCGCGGTGCAGTACTTGTTGGGATTTCTAGCATCGTCCGCCGTTGACTGCCAATACCAACATGGACGTAAATTTATCTACTTGACTATTAATTCAACACCGAGGATCGAAAATCTACCGTACTTCGTACTCGAGGACTGTATCATGATTCATCATGATCGAGCGGCCCGCGTATACCCGCGCGGCCATATAAGCATAACAAGGAAACACCGCCCTCCTTGGTCGATCAATCCTCACATGGCCATGCTTCAAAGTTGGCCTCAAAGAATACGGCTAATCAATGGGCTAGAAACTGTACCTTGATTATTTGTGATTCATCATTTGAGAACTGCCTTATCTTCTCCTGTCTCGGAGTCGGCAGTCAAGGACTCTCAGTACCAAAAACAACTTTCCACGTCCTACCATCGCTCATAATTTCTCGCTGACAATCTCGACTTCTCGATCGGCGCTCCCCATTCATAAGCCAACGCAATCATTGGCATTGTGGCATACGCGTACGGCTTTGATGTACGAGACAGACCTCAATAGCCTTTGACGTCACGCCTGGCATGAGCTCCAGCATTCTGATCTTGTTGGGAGGCACCATAGGTTGGGGCTGGAAACTTTCCGTTGTTGCGAATACAGAGACCGTTGAATTTATCCCACCCGGAGAGAAAGTTGTCGAGCCGAAAAAGGCATTATTCCACCAATAGTTACGGTAGGTTTTCCGGATCATTTATTCGGGAGCTTAGTATCAAAATAGGCCTTACCCTACCCAATAAAGAAAGAGATTAATATCCAAAGGTGAAAAAGTTAGACTAAACTTTCAAGAAAAATGGAGATAGATAGAAATCGTGGGGCAAAGCAACGATATAACTGAATTTAGCATGAGATGACATCCATGGCCATAGCATAACAGCAGATTGGTTCCTGCAATATCACTGGTCGCTTAAATGCCGGGTTTCTATTAATATCTCCTTTTGTTATCCACCACAGGTTAATAATCTACAATGAACAAAGTATCTGTGTTAGAACTGTTGATTGTTACAATGGTTATCAACTTATTGATAAAGGGACTCTTTATGACAATGAAAATTATAACTTTGTTTGTGGAAATTCCAAAAGCGCTTGGTATTGTCTTGTTGTCGTCGAGTATAAGTCCTCGGAACGCAAGACAATATTTCTAATCGTATACATAGGAAGAGGAGAAGAAAGCATACGAGATTTCTAGATTACCATTTTGATAGCTACAGTTTATAACAGACAATATCACTGAAATTCAACTCTTTTCACGAAAATGTCAAGCTTACCACGTAACCAAGCTCACGGAATTGAGGTACGAAATGTTTCAGAGACAACGCATACTCGTATTGCCATTATAGGACTTGGTGCCCGAGGAAGACTAACTCTTTGCTCAACTATTGCTACTGAGCTTATGGAGCTCTGGCAACGAAAAAGACTTAGCCGAAAACCTCGCATTCATGAGTATTTTGAAGCACAGGCTGAGAATGAAGGACCGGGTGTAGCATTCCAGCATGATAGCAAAGCATCTCTCAACACTGGTATGCTTGGTCCCATGTCGCTGGATACGACGGGACTTACGCCCAGGCAGCGCAAAAAAGTGGAACATCTTACCGACGTTGCAGGTAACTATAGCAGGATCTTGATGGCTGATAGGGAGAAGACTTTGGCAAGAATGCAAAGTGAAAATGTAGCTTCTAGCATAGTCTTTGCACAAGCCTCCAGAGATGGTACCCTTGATACTGAGATTTCTTGCGGTCCCCGCGATATTGTCGGTAAGGTTCTCAACGATATGACTCGAGAAGCGTTGCATCTAGCTAACGAATACTTGCCTTGGTTGGATATTCGAGTTCACTTCGACACAAGGAGTACTGATATTGACCTCTCTAACCCCCAGAAGCCGGTATTGACCATCAAAGGTAGTACTGGCCTGGTTGAGGATTTACAGTACGACATGATATTCAAAACTACTGGGACTACCTCGCTAAGTCCAGTCACAGGAACCGTGGCAGAGCATGCTTTCACGGGAATTCCAGGCCCCAAGGCAATCTTTGAGTACTTGGAGAAGCGCAACCTAGTGGATTCAGGGCTAATCAAACCAGGAACAAAGATCCTTATTGGTGGATCCAGTCTTTCAGCCTTTGATCCAGTGGGTATTCTTCTTACACGTACTGGAATTGTCAATTTGGACAGCAAAGGTGGCTGGACCATCAATAAGGAAAGATCAAGCCAATACCAAGGGCTCATCACCTTTTTTTCCCGCACTGAAGGAGACGCCATTCGCCCTCGTCATCTTATCGATTTCGAGAGAGCTAGTGACCGCCTTGAGCAAGCAGCTCTGTTTACGCCGGAAATGCTGCTTTCATTACAGGTGCAAGAGGGTCTGGATCAATTTCAAACTTCGTTACTCATAGGACGTTTGATTACGGCAGTCTATTTCGAAAAGCTCCCCCAAGATATTGAGTCAGGAAGAACAACTGCCGATCTCATCACCTATATGTCGAATGAGACCAACAGATGGGCAGCTGAGGTGGATAAGGAAGCCCCACAACTTTCGGAGTTAGGTGTCTTCCGAGAAAGCTTCTTAGGTGTTGTAGACCTCGCACTAGGTCTTAAGCCAGCAGAGAAGCGTGATGACCTGGAGAGCAGTTTTCCTCTGGTCTTTCGCGAAATAGGTGCTAGATACAGCGCTATGTCATTCAACCAAACGCATGACTCTAGCACACGAAAAATAAGTCTCGAAGACAGTCAAAGTTGGAGGTCAGAGGTGCGTTTGTTTTCCTCCTTCATCACTGCCTCGCCTTTTCCTGTATACCATTTGTTTACGCACCTCACGGAAATAGGCGTGATCAAATGGGAGTAGGGAGATTACAATAACATATCTTGGTCAGACAAAACTCAACTGTTTGAAGTAGATGGCAACGCCGGGGACGCACTTTTCGCTGCATGGATGTTAACAGGCCAGGCGTATTTACTCTCTCAGAAAATCTTTGCTAAATTAAAACATCTCCCTGGAGACAGAATCTACGACAAGGGTCGTTTCCTTCGAGCATCACATGGACTTTGCCATCTGATGGAGCACGGAATTACTGGTCATGGGATGTTTGACGAGGGTCGTTTTCTCAACACTCAATGGAATGATACCAACGAGTTGGAAGCAGCTCAAGAAACAATTCCAAGGTTCGTAGCGGTTATCCGCGTGTTTGAGGACATGCTGGCTAACAAAATTCCAAATCCCGTACTTCATCTAATGGAACTGTACGAGAAAACACTCCCTTCAGAAAGGCAATTCTCCGAACAGACAGCTTTGCTCCAAGAACCTTTCATAAACTTGGGAGAATCCAGGCATTTGCAGATCTCGCAGCGGTAGCATGGCCCAATGGGAAAGAGTTTTCTGAAAAGACGCAAAAGGCGAAAGATCGAGAAGTTCGCCGAGCATTGTTCCAGGAGATCCGGAAAATGGAGGGAAGTTACCTTGAAAAGGCTTGCAAGAGATACGAGGACCAAGTAGGAAGCATCAAGTTTCAGCCTCTAGATCTTAAGAGCTTTGAAGAGATGGCACCCGACTCTTCCCAACAGCAGCTCGGAGAGATGAGACGTCTCCTGAATCGCGAGTTGGACTTGCTTTTTGAAGACGTCAAGCTAATTGATTCAGCAGAAAGTGCCGACATTACACAGGGCACAACGACTACCCAGCGTAGAGGACCAATGGCCGTAATGAATCTCTATAGACTCAAGATTTATATCTTTATTCTTGGCCTTTTTGCGAGATTATCCCACCGAGAAAATACAGATACACTTCCAAGGTAAGCCAGGGTGATTGATGACGTAGAAAGCATATCTGGGACTAGTCTATTATAGGAAGTTGAATATTAGGGTGTTTTCAAAATTCTTTAGAGAACTGACTTTACAAACCTTCTAACAATAGAATAGATTATCTGACACAAAATTGAAACCAAACAATGAAAAATAAGAAGTGGAAGCAAGTGACGAATGATAGTGACAAATGAAAGCGACAAATGATAGTGACGTCCAAGGTAGTCATCCTCTTTCGGTCGATTCTCCACTCCTGCAATCCGGTGCGCTCTGATGGAGCAAAATTCGCAAGATGGTCGGCAATTAACTTATGCTCCGAAACGATTGTAACGCCGGAGAGCTATCGGCTTCCCTGGAAACGTGTAATCTTGGTTATTTTCATATAACAGGTTGAAAAACATGCGATCTCCATCCAATACTTTCGCTATAACCCTTTGTACGTGAAAACACGGATTCTAGTATGATAAACAGCGCGCTTCTTTGGCGTCGACTCTTTTGTATCAAGCTTGGCGTACGTTCAACAGGCTCACATGAAAAAGTCGTTCAGCATATAATTCAAAGTACTGTTGTATTCCAATATGACACATCAAATTATGAATTTCCGACAAATTGCAAAGATTAACATCCAGGCTGTAATGAAAAGTTCTACTAATCTTAAAACAGAGGTAAATTTATGTCTCCGACGTCGGTACAGTCGTTCGTGCCTTTGAAACTCAACCCTATGAAGTACAATTAGAACGGGCGCCCTCGGCTCTATTTGTCGTAACGGCGGTTGCCGTATACTCGCGGGGACCGCGGGGAACTTCTGTTAATAGAATACACTATCAAAATCTGGGGGCCCCTCGACGCAACTTTGAGTTGCGGAGTCGGCTCAGACCTGTGCCTGACCTGGCCCAACGTCAAGTTGGCCGACAATTCCCTGTCTCAAACTCTCAGACCAGAAGATAGTCGGTGCCCTGAGGCGCTGCGATAAGAAGACACACACTTTGTAGTCAGACGGGGTTTACCAGGATCATAGAAATGGTGATATAAACTTTGTAGATAAGCGTAAAAATACCGAGAGAAGAAATGAGAGTGGGATGTACCCCAATCATATTACGTGCATTACGTGCCGTCAATGGCATGGGGTGGATACCAAAGAAGAGGGGTAAAGAACCTTCTGTTTGAGAAAATGTGAATTTGGCGGGGAAGTAAGAGGTGGTCAATGTGAGATAGTGGCAATTTCATAGACTCATGAATATATTGTAGCACTTCTTCGTGCGAGTTTACTCTGGAGCAAATACAGCTGAAAGAACAAGTTGTGAAGTTCAAATACTAGCAGGCAAGGTTCCAGTCTGAAGGTAGCGCAAATAGAGGAAATGAAAGTATCCTTCTTTCAGACTTCAACTCGTTTCATCATTCAACTTATTTTGACAAACTTTGCAATTTTAATATCCCTACAGCAACGGCAAAGGTTGCAGCATATAAGCCTTAATCGCGAAGACGTCCCGAACAATTTGCTCAAAAATCAATATATATAAAATTGCTGTAGCTGGTCCTGATAAAGTAATGCACTATGTACATCTAATGCTAAATCTTGGTTCTAATTCTGATTCGTACTCTTTCCTTCACACTCCCAACCTCTCGAGGCGATATCAGCTCCGAGTCCGGCGGGTATGTCCGCAAATATTTTGCCACGGCCATGAAAGTTTCGACAGCATCATTGATTCAAAGCTAAAGTCGCAGTAAATAATGATGGAATCAAAATCGGGTCAAGAATAGGAGTTGTATTGTAGGATATGAGGCTATCTACAGTATATGTGGATAAGTGGATACAGGGGGTGATCTAAAATCACATGTGAGAATTCCGGTATTCACTGTCGCTCATCTTCTCAGTTTTTACTTCAAGTCCCACGAGGTTCTTACTGAGGAGCAAATATAAGCGGGAGATGGGAGATAATGGAATGAAATGTAAGGTCATAATCATAAGCATTGTAGCCTGTACTTGAATTAAGGTGCCCCCTCTTTCCGATAGCTTCACTTTCGTAACTTCATGAACTTCTAAACAAGATACTGTTGAATTTGGATTTGATGAGCGACTAAGTGCGGGTTACATTCACGCGTTGATTTCAAAATCGAAAGCAACTCACCCGATGAACAATCTTAATCAGTGATTGATTATGGCCTATATGGATGAGCCTCGCTTATGAAGGCATTGTCGCATTGAGCCACAACTCTCTCTCCGACCTCTATTTACACATGTTATCATGTCTTCTTTTACGTATGACTCCTGGATATCGTTTCAATGTGGCGGGATGAAGCCACATAAAAGAAATCCAGAACAGTATGAACATGCGACGTCATGAATGCCAAGCGAGTTACTTTGGAAAACGTAAACCTTTTGTTCTCCGTTGCAAAAAATATTGAAAGATCAACGCCTATATAGAATCTTACGGAGAAACTATCAATCTACATGTTTAAAGCAACTCAGGTAATATCTCACAATCCTACTATAATGTGGTGGCAAATACACCAAATGACCCTAAGTGAAGGGGGAAGCAGGTTGGTTTCATCAGGGCATATAACTACACAATGCTTCTAATACCCTTTAATAAGTTCATCAACGAATCTGAGCCATACAACGCAATTATCAAGTAGCCTTCCATCCTCCCATAGCCTTAGTATCAGAAACCAAAACCCTCCCCCACAACTTCTTTTCTTTTGCAACTACATAAACGTATCACAAAACACTTCTACATACTCAGGCTCTGTGTTAAAAGCTCAAATTTAAACTAGATACCCTCAAGAAATTAGCAAAAACTAGATATAACTCCGTATACGCAAGACCAAACCAAGCCATATGTCATCTGTATCAATGTTGCTTTGATAACTGCTGCCAAGCACGGTCATTACTCCAGCTTGTAAGATACCAGAATGGAAATATTTTTGGGTCGTAAATATGATTTAAGAGCTCTTCGATAAGACGCAAATCCATTCACTGTTACGATCTTATGATCTGCTACTGTATTGAAGAAAGGAGTTGGTAGGTCAGAATTGGAGGATAAGTGGATATGAAGAATGGATGTTCATTAGAGATAGAAATGGTGATTGAACAAAAGCACCGCAAGACTACTCATGATTGAGGCATATTGCATTTCTGACCATACAAGGTCTCTCGAACTAGAAGAATTTCTTATACCCCAGAAATATATGAATGAAGAATCTGTACATATGTTGGATGAAGTATAGAATATTAGCTGTTCACATTAAATAACCATCTCTTTTCTTTTTCCTGGTCTGAAATGCAGTATTTATGAAAATAGGAATGTTCCAATCAGAAAGAATAATCAGCGAGAGATGACTGACACCTTCGTATGACCAGTAAAGCAATAAAAACATCAGTTGATGAAAGGACAATAAAATCAATGTGTTGTTCTATTCCTGATGTTGGAGAGGCTGGGCTGTATACTCCGTACAGTAACATTCCTTGGAAATCGCGTCATCCAAGACACCCCACTTCCTTTTCCTGGGCAAACCATCAACCATCCGCCTACTACATCCAAAAAGGCAGCTTACCCTCCACCCAACCACACCACAGTTCTTACCTCCGTTCTATCCGACATCCATCGTCCATCATGAAGCTTCAATCTCATCATCAAACAACCGCTCATTCACGCAGCTATGGCGACCCACCAACCCCCAACTTCCTCCCCCACCGCAGCCCAAGATGAAATCGCAAACCCCAACAACCCCAATCCAAACGATGGGCTCACCTACAACAACGGCACCTTGAAAGGAGACGAGTTAGAAATCAAAGATGAAGATATAATAACAGTAACCAGCATCCGACTAAGCGAGCACCGCTACACAATCCTCAGTCTAGCCCCTCCCTCAGACACTAACCCTGAAACCAAAGCCCCGGCTTTCTCACTGCAAACCACACACGCGAAGTCCCTCCCAAAGGAATTCCTGAGGAAACACCAATTTCAGGGCCTGCCATCGTATCTGGGTCCTGATTCATACCTCCCAATTCTTGTCTCGACCGTTTCGGGGACGGGTCTTGCGCCGAGTTTCTTGGAGGAGGTTTTGCGGCCGGTGTTGAATGCGATAGGATTGAGCGAGCCGCAGTACGAGGTGATACGGACGGAGAGTACGGAGTCTATTCTACAGTTTGCAAAGGGGAAGTTATTGCGGGGTGCCAATGAGGGACGGGGTCAGACTGTGATTCTGCTGAGTGGGGATGGCGGGGTAGTTGATATCATTAATGGACTTTTGCAAGATGGGGATAGATCAAGGTACCCAGCTCTCTTCCAAATTCCATACATGACTAACATGATAACTCAGTACATGCGTCCCCCCATCTCTAATCCAAATGCCCCTCGGCACAGGCAACGCACTCTTCCACACCCTCCACAAACAATCCCCCCTCCCCTCCTTGTATATCCAAGCCCTTCGCACCCTCCTAACCGGCACATCCAAGCCTCTCCCAAAATTCTCAGCCTCCTTCTCCCCAGGCTCCCGCCTCCTTACAAACGAAGGCCAGACCGCTACGCCCATCCCAAATAACAAAATCCACGGCGCAGTCGTAGCATCCTACGGTCTGCACTCCACGCTCGTAGCAGATTCCGACACGGTCGAGTACCGAAAACACGGAGCCAAACGATTCGGACTGGTAGCGAAGGATCTGTTATTCCCTGACAGCGGAGCACCGCACAAATACCTTGCTTCTGTCACACTCGTTCGCAATGGGAAGGAAGAAGTATTGGAAAGAAAAGAACATACATACATCCTCGCAACCCTCGTCTCCAACCTCGAGAAAACATTCACCATATCCCCCGCTAGTCGACCGCTCGATAGCATATTAAGAATCGTACATTTTGGGGCTAAGAGTGGAGAGCAGACAATGGATATCATGAAAGGCGCATATGAGGACGGGAAGCACATTGAGAGTGCAAATGTGGCGTATGAGGCAATCGACGGGTTTAAGATCAGCTTCCAAGAAGGAGGGGAGAGTTGGAAATGGAGGAGGTGTTGTGTTGATGGATTGATTGTGGGTGTCGAGGAGGGCGGGTGGGTAGAGGTTAAGATGGGTAAAGGGGAGGAGGTTGTGAGGATTGTGAGTGATTTGTGACTTTTCTTTTGGTGGTTTAGAGTCGAGATAGAATGACGATTAGAGCGGTTTAGGGCAAAGGCTTGATTTGGGGGATATGTAAGTTATTTCTTATGGAAAGATTTCCTTTCCTGGATCACTATATCTATATTTAAGTCTGTTCCTCCCGTCTTCACTCCCAACAGATCATGAAAAGTTAAAGGAATCCATTTTCCGGAGAATTCCTATCATTTTTCCATCTCCATTTGTTACATGCTCTCCTATGAACCATTCATTGAACCCCCTTTCCTTCCTCCCCTGACACCACCTCTAAGCGAGATCTCAGAAGCGAAGTTTACTCCCCAATCCCCCTTCACTCCACAAAAACAGCAAATCCCTCAAAATCTCTCATCACTACCACCCCCTCCTTCACTTCAGGTAGCACACCATAATTCGAAACCAGCACACCTTCCCCTTTAACCTTCATCCCCTCAGGTACCGTCCACCTCACATCCCTATCCCGGAAGTTGTTCGCAACCAATACCTTCTTCCCCTCAAACGTCCTCACGTAAGCGAAGATATCATCGTTCTCCCCATCTATCATGCGAAAATCGCCGTAGACGAAGATATCGGTATGGGATTTGCGGAGGGAGAGGATGGTGTTCCAGTAGGTGTAGACGGAGTCTGGGGAGGAGACTTGGGTGGATGCGTTTATGGTGGTGTAGGAGGGGTTGGGTGCTTGCCAGGGGATGGAGGTGGGAGGGCAGAAACCGCCGTTGGTGGTGGGGGACCACTAGGGTTGTTAGAGGGATGCGAAGGGGAGGATGGAATGGGAATGAGGGGTTCTAAGGGGGATGGTGTGCGATACTTACTTGCATTGGTGTTCGTGCGTTGTCGCGGGATTTCTTTTGGATTTCGGACATGGTGGACTTTTGGAGGGCGATGTCGTCGGGGTATCTTTGTATGATTCTAGAGAGGTGTCAGTATAATGATAATATCCTTTATAAGATATCTCGTCTCCATCTCAAACCCAGTGAAGCTGGAGAGCCATCTTCCAAAACGAAAAAAGGGGGATTTTGGGGAGACGGATAAACATACTCCTCCCAAGCATTCAAAGTTTCCAAATCTCTATAATCCTCGATCGGTCGGTCAACTGGAACATTAATCATCCCCAATTCCTGTCCCTGATACAAGAATACCGTCCCACTCTGCAGTCCCAGAAATGTCGCAAACATCTTCGCGCATATCACTCTGAAGGCCTCGCTATCATTTCCCCATCGCGAGACGGAACGCGATTGGTCGTGGTTCTCGAGGTAGAGAGCGTTCCAGCCGTCGTTGTCGAGCATGAAACGTTGCCATTTGTTTACGATGGATTTCAGATGGGTCATTGACCATTGCTTGGGGGAAAACTTTCCTCGGGGGCCGTGGTCCATATCGACGCTGTGTGAGGGTGTTAGTGGGATGGGATGGATTGGGGGAAATGGGAAGGGGGAGGGAAGGTACATTTCGAAGTGGAATATCATGTTCAGTTCCCCTCTATCGAATTGTACCGCATTCAAGATCTCCTTCGGATCATGAACTGAAGGCATTTCGCCCACCGAGAAGGCATTGTACTCCTTGAGAATCGTGCCTAGTTCCAGGAGGTACTCGTGTAACCTTGGTCCGCAAGCAAAATGGATGTCCCCCGGCTGGTACTTCTGATCTGGCCGTGTGATAGGGGCATCTGGTAAACCGGGAGTTTTGGAGATGAAGTTTATAACATCCATTCTGACAATTACACGTTAGAGTAATTCATCATGTCATACGGTGAGAGATGGAGGAGGGAATGACAAAGTAATCTCACCGAAATCCATCAACGCCCTTATCAAGCCAAAATCTCATGATATCATGAACTGCATCCCGGACAGGTGGGTGTTCCCAATTCAGATCTGGTTGTTCAGGTGCAAAGATGTGAAGATAGTATTCTTGGGTTTGTTCATCCCATTCCCATGCACTTCCTACTCCGAACATTAGTTTGATCTCAAAAGATGTATTTGAATATGAACATGAGTTCGAAAAAAAGGGGGGTGACCTACCTCCCCATACTGCACCCCAATTGTTTGGTGGTGCACGACTTCCGTCCTCGAGGATTTTGGCGGGTCTCCAGATGTAGAAATTTCGGTAGGGATTATCTTTTGATTTTCTGGATTCTTGAAACCAATAGTGCTATGAATTAATCAGTATATAGTACTTCCTCAAAGTTCGAATTATTTCATGAGATACGACTTACTTTGTCAGACGTATGATTAACAACCAAATCCCTACCCATCAATTAGCCTCAACCCCAATCCTCCTCCCACCGCACCTTTCCCATTCCACTCACATCAAAAACTTCAACCCCCTCTCTCTACACCCTTGAATCAACTTCTCAATATCACCCACCGTCCCATACTTATCATGAATCTCCTTGTAATCCTCAATATCATATCCCATGTCCACCTGCGGACTCTTATAAACAGGACACAGCCAAATAACATCCACACCAATACCCTTGATATAATCGAGCTTCTCAATAATCCCTGGAATATCTCCAATTCCATCACCATTCACGTCAGCAAAGGAGGCGGGGTAGATTTGGTAGATGGTGGCTTCTTTCCACCATGCCTTGTTGACTTTTTTAATACCCATTTTTCCTACTGGTTCTGCTGACATTTTTGCAGCAGGATGAAATGATGGGTGGGAAATGAGGGAGGAAAGTGAAGAGAACGGCGAGAAGGAATCTGGTGTGGTGATCGAGAAGAGTGGTGTTGTGAGGCGAGGTTTGGAGGGGTTAAGGTGGTACAGGAGTATGATGTAGTGGTGGGGGCGGGGCAAGCGGGGGAGCTACTGGATGTTGGTCGCATACGATATGCGGGGGAGTGGGAACACTGAATGCTCCTCTTGAAGCAGTTCGGGGGAATATTCGCTGTTGAGTTAATAGCAATTTGGAACTTTTAGAATTCTCACTACTGTTATTCTATCATCGTACTTGAAGTTATTCGCTTTGTAGTTGTTTGCAACTGCAAGTTGAGAGGTTTCACGAGCAGAAATACTTACTGTGTATGTATCATCCCACTCTCAACTTCAGAACTTCCAATCAACTAACTAGTTACTTTCCTACTCATTACAACAATCCAGGTAACGCACACAAAATCTATCATATACATCCACAAGTAAAATCATCCCATCACAAAAGTCTATTGTTGGGTATCAAAGTTCATCCAACATTACTAAATCCTTCATCCTCTTCTCTATCGCCGCGATTCTGGCAGAACTCTTTCGTCTAGGTAGTGCATCCTTAGTTTTCTTGATCTTATTATCTGTATTCTTCCGGGTATCTTGTTTCGTGCTTGCTTTGACTGGAATGGCCTTATTCGTTTTTGAGACAGCAGAGAGGGCAGCCTGTTCATTTCCTAGGTTGGTAGCACTCTTTTTGGTATTTTTGATGTCGCCTTCTGGGGCTGTCTCTTTCGTACTTTTTGCTACCGTCTTCTTTTCAGTCGCCTTGAGGGATTGCTTCATGGGTTTAGGTTTTGGTGAAACTGGAGATTTCTTGACTTCCTTTTCTTTTGGCTCACCCACCTTCTTTCCCACCAATTTGTCACCGGCCTTGTTTTTGGATGGCTTGGTTTTGGCGACTTTCACCACCTTTCCTTTCTGTGTAATCTCGAGAGTTGATTTGGCGATCTTGGCTTTTGGTGTGTCGGGAATCTTCTTGGTTTCTTTTCCCTCTGTTTTGCCTGTTTTCTTTGCCACCAATTTACCGCCTTCCTTCTCAAATTCCTTCTTCGGCTTCTCCAATTTCTTTTCCCTTGCTTTCTCCGACTTCTTCTCCACTTTCAGACATTTCTCCTTCCAAGTCCCAATTGCTTCATTAACAGCTCTCGTAGCATGAGCCGTCAATCGATAAGCATCGACCTCCTCGTTGTGATTCCCGTACTTTGCCAAGGCCCTCAAGCTGATCTTATAACTCCGCCTAACGCCAACATACGAACAATCCCTCTTCATCCCCTTACCACCCCTCATTTCAAAGTATCGGCACTATGAGGTTTCGAAGCCGTGACAACACGTAAATAACCCCCTTTTTGCGCAGCAAGAGAGTTGGTTGCGACGACGATACCTTTTTGTGCGAGGTATTTCTTCAGGAGAGTGTTGTTGAAGGATGTCATCTTGTTCAAATTAGCCAGGTCAACAAAATAGGGTAGGGAAAGGAGGGGGAGGGGAATCACAATTGCAATTTCAACCACCGAATCATGCTTAATTTTCTTCGGGGAAGGACAAGAAGTCACAACCACAGGGTGATTAAAGGCTCCCGCGTTCAATTCCTCATCCACAAAAGCATCCTTCGGTATTATATCTCTTGGCGGTAGGAAGAGAATCGATCCTTCTGCGGTCTGGGGTGCCTCGGCTGAGGAGACGAGGCGGAAGTTCACCATGATTTGAGAAGAAATGAAGTAGGGGTCTCAGACATGCTCAATCGCTGTTGGTTTTTCCGGGTCAGAGATAATTTCTTTTTGGTACGGACTGTAGATCGGAGGAATGTGCACCTTTGTTCAGTTGGAGAGAGTTTACTTGGATAGGCGAGGATGGATGATTTGTAAAAGTTCCAGAGTTGAGACAAAGGGAATTGATCGTTGGGCTTCGGGGCCTGTTTGACTCCCATATTCTTTCTCTCGTTTGCAATATGCTTGCAAATTCAGATATGCATGCTTTTTCAAATGTGCACTGCTGTTTGGGTGAACGCAGCACTCCTGATTTCGTTTGTGATCAAGTATCCTCAATTCCTCCTGTGAGAGTCCTGTATACTTCACGATGCATCAGAACACGTACAGTACAAAAACTTCAAATGGACCTCGCTCAGTCATGGGAATAGATCAGATGAAATTGAGATGGCATGGGGCGTACATAGAATTACTGACGTTTGAGGGATCAGAGAAGTCAACGTAAAATATTGTCAATATCCCTGTCCCTAAACTATTTCTGTAGGTAAATTCAGTCAATACGGGCAACATACCTAATAATAATGGTTTCGGTTGCGAGATTGTGCTTATGCTCCGGCCGGGCCCCTTAGCTTCAAGTATTCCCTCCCTCCGCCTCGTCAGCTTCCCCTCGGTCGTCAGCACTTAGAATAGCGTCCAAAAGCACACGACCCCAAACTTTGATTTATGCGAAGCGAGCGACGCGAAAACGGAGTGACGTCTCAACCAGTCGGCATCGGTATAATAGATTGCGGCTCACAAAAGGAAGTCCTTGGATTGATATATAAAGTCGTGGTGGTTGATGAAAGGATGTTCCTGACCATGTAAATTACGGAATTCCAGTACCTACGTAGAAGTATTGAATCTTCGGATGATTACCGATGGGTCAGGGCCATCCCTGCCCCACGACGATGCTTGGCATGGGTAGGGTGATCTCGTATAGATGGATGGCACTTGATCATGATCTATGTAGGGGACAGAGTCAGGTATATATCAGAGTCTCATTCGCATCTTTTTCTCATGGTTCGGCCACTTGCGAAGTTCTCTCTTCTTCTTCCAAGATACCAAGATTGAACTTGGAATTGCTGTGTCCACGCACTCTGCGGAGAAGACTCGAGTTTACAAAGTCATGATGTGCGGGGTATATTATATTGGAAAAGCCCTTGAGGCCGTATCCATCCAGCTGCGAATTGGGAAATTCGAAGGTATGGACTGCCTCGCCCATTCCTTCATATAAACGAATCTAACGAACCAAACATAGTCGGTGGAAACTGGCAATGTCAAGATTGCTCCACCAACAACACCCCGCTCTGCGCCGACTGCAAAGATTCTTGGTTGCACGAATTGAGTTCTTTAGAATACTCGAACCGCTTCGAACGACGAGTCGGGTTCCTCAGCGGTGTATCCGCCATCATGATGGGCCTCGTGGCCTTCCTGGGAAACGCATCAATGACACTCTGGCAATCCGGTCCTCACCTCTTTTCCGTACTGCTCCCTTCCCCACCCCATTACCCACTGCACCCACTAACAGGCGCCACAGATCACTTCGGTCCTTCCCACACTCTCCCTCGCAGCCCCATGGCAAAACGTCTACAACTACACGCTCCTCCTCCTCCTCCTCACCTCTACCCTCGTCCTGTGCTCAGCGCAAATAATATGCATGTTCCTCACCATGATGAATCCCACCACTACCCGCCACTGGCGGCACATGACGGCCACGGTCTGGGCGGTAATTGGATTCTCGACGTTCGTCACCATGATACTGACGATTTATAATCCGTTGGGGGATTTGATTCTGGTGTTTTGGCCGGTCATGACGGGATTGGTCAATTGTGGGGTTGCCTGGGGTATGGATGTTCGGGAGGCAGAGGGGAGGATAATGTTGGCTGGCGATGGAGGGGAGAAGGTATAAGGGAAAGGGATTCTAGGGGGTGACTCTCTTGGGTAAGACTTATGGGCATAAATTTGGATGGGCGGCGGGTTTGATGGGAGTATATATCGGCAGGTATAAAGGTTTGGCGAGCGTTTTGGGGGTGAGGGGCAATATGGAGTATCAGGTTTAATTTCATAAGTCTTTACCAACCTTTCTTTGCTCACAAAATATTCGTTTTCTTCCAACCGACGGTATCTCGAGGTGCCTCTATTTCTACGTACATTTGTGTGCTGTCATTTCTTCAACCTCCCGGACTTCACATACCTTGGGCATATAAAGTCCCTTTTCCTATTTCCTCAGAAGCAAAGCAGTATTGACTGCCACATAGACAACCCGTTACTGAAATCAAGTTACAGAGACAACTTCGCAGACGTCGAAGTATGAATAAGCTCCCGTCCCATCCTCATCTCATCCTCTCGCTCTCGTACTCGGCAAGCCAAACATAGGTAGCCATGGCGTGGTCATGACCAGCATAGCCATACCAATTGCTACCTAAAATCTGACGCCCAAGCTACTCTATTGGTGACCTGCCAACGTTTTGCGTTTTAATAAACATCAACACCAAACAATTTCTTGGAAGAAAAATGTCCCCAAAGCACCCTATTTATTGTACTCACGACCCGGTTCCGGCGTAGTCCGTTCACACCTCTGATCCCGGAAAGATACTGGGCTGATACTGTACGATTCGGTTATCTAAATATAGAAGAACACCCCCAGAAGATGACGATTCGCAGCGGCAAGCCCCACCTGCCATGCCCATGCCACCAAATGCCACCTGGAGCGAACACCGACACCCCAGTGACCCCCCCTGGCAACCAAGAATCATAGCCTCAACGCCAATGGAACTGGAAAACCAATAACAACACTCGACACCCTGGAATGTCAACGACGACCAATATTTTCTAGCGTGAGCGCAAAGCCTCACTTACTCATTTGTCCTGTTCCAGTCTTTTCTTTCCTGGTTCCTCTCTTTCAGTCGCTTCCATCGCAATCCGAGAAACCAACTCTACTCGTATACTCGAACTTGCATCGCTCCCGGAAATTTGGAAGAGCGGGAATCTTTTTGATAGTGCTACAACACAGTACCGGTAGCTAGTATCACAACACAGTTTCACAGTTTCACAATTTCACAGCTTCACAGCTTCGCTTCCACAATGGCACCCCTCCCATCAACATCCAGCTCCGACCTCCCACGCACAATACTCCACCTCGCCCGACGAGCAGTCATCACCGGCGGGCCCTCACTCCTCCAACTCTCAGCGCGAAATGCCCTCCAACCCCGCGCCTTGACAGTAAACAGTACCCAGAAAGTGACGTTGGGTGTGATAGCTGGGTACACAGTAGCTATAGCTCTCCTCTGGAACCTGCCGTATGTTCGGTGGTCATTATGGCCTTTCAAGGTATTTCCTCTTCCTCCCTCGTCCACATCCAAATTCAAATTCAAACAAACATCAAGATTGGAAGACGATATGCTGATATGTTGCGGTGGAAATAGATGTTAGTAATTGCCTTCCACGAATTCTCGCACGCCTTCACAGCCCTCATCACCGGCGGCCGCGTAAAGTCCATCTCCCTCGACCCGCGCGAAGGAGGAGTAACACACATGGCCGGCGGAATCTCCGCTCTGACTCTTCCAGCGGGATACCTGGGCTCCTCGCTCATCGGGGCGCTGTTGATAATGTGTGGATTCAATATCGTGGCGAGTAAAGTGTGCAGTATCGCCCTCGGCGTCTGCTTCTTGCTCACGCTCTGGTGGGCACGAAGGGATTGGTTGACCATTGTGACCGTGCTAGCGGCCGTGGGATTACTGGTCGCTTGTTGGTTCATTAAACATGCTGAGCCTTTGCGGTTCGTCGTGGTATGGTCCCTCTCTTCCCTCAATCCTCATCCTTTCTCTTTCTCTCTCTTCGCTCTCGCCAAAGTCTCACATACTAATGAGCTCCCAGCTCTTCATAGGCACCATGTCTTCCCTCTACAGCGTCTGGGACATCTGTGACGACCTGATCCTGCGCAAAGTCAACGAATCCGATGCCAGCGTATTCGCCAAACGCTACGGCGGCTCGAGCCAGTGTTGGGGTGTCATCTGGTCGATCATCTCTCTGTTGTTTATGGTTGGCGGTATCATTGCGGGCATTGCGGCGTTTCCGGAGGAATGGGCAGAGCAGGAGGACGACTCGAAGAAGTTTATTCCTACGTGATGATGAGTGGATTACAATGCTTGGAAGGGCTTGGATGAATTCATATGAAAAAGTGGGAAAATACCTATTGGGTTTTTGGAATGGGGTGATTGGTGCTTGGATGACGGGGGCTGCGGTGAGCTCATTGAAGTGTAGCTGGGACGCAGCTGGATATCGGAATATCAAGGTCAAATCATTTGGATAGGAGGAAAAATGTTTATGGATCAAGTGCGAGGAAGCTCGTGTCACCGAGGGCACCGGAGGACTAAGGTACTCCATGACGGCAGATAAATCAATCACGAAACTTTTAAGGAAGGGAAGGAATACTACAAGGCAACCAACCATCACCTGTGTAGACTGCAATCAAGCTGGAAGTCAAGACAGACCCAAAAATGGAATCGCAGGGAACCAGAAGGAGGCTATTAATGAGTCAACTCAGACAGCACAGTAGTGGTGGTAATAATGCAGGAAGAAAAGTTGAAAATAAGATATACCTACATACCCGCAGTACAGTTACAGTTAGTCTATGATTAACAAGTTTTATCCCTGGATTCGAGTTTTTGTATATGCTCTTCGTACCCCCACTCCCTACACCTACCCCCCTTTTTCTTTCTTGAGAAGTTGAGAGAAATCATGTAATGCTATAGAAACTTTCCTACGATTCCTTGACCCTATCCTCTAAGCTTCTTGCGATAAAATCATATATTCAATTTCCACTCTCCACTTTCCACTTTTCTATGGGATCGTTCTTGGTGTTGTTATTTGATTGGTTTTATGGTGGATTGACTCGGCTCTAAGGTAACGGGCACGAAAGAAAAAGGGGACATTTCCTCACTCTCGCTCTTGCTCTCGCTTAGGAGGAACCAAGAGGCTTTAGCGTGGTATTTTCTGGCGTGGTGTTGTTTGGCGTGGTGTTTTCTCCCAGGGCGATGGATCATGAGAGGGAAGTAGGTGATAGGTATGATACCATGTCTGGTTTACGAATCCCTTACTGTGCTGCGATGGGATCTTTTCACGATTATGTAGTAGCCGAGGAAAACGTGGTGTTCATGAAGTGTCCTCGCTTATCGCAGGATTGGTCATCAGGTTACAGTCAAGCGTCCGGAAATGAATATTTTTATGGCTTTTATTTATGTTATCAAGCCCATAATTATATTACATTGAGCATTGGTACGTTCCTATGCAAGCCCTTCTATACAAGCTCTTTTACTAATACAAACTCAAACTCTTCTACACAACCCCAACGCCAGTTATGCAAAAAGCAATCTCCCAATTCCACTATCCAATGCATCTCTCATCTACCTCAACTTCCCCAAAACAATAGCAATAAACCACACAGCATAAAGGGATCTCAAGTAGCAAATCCGCTCTCACATTCCTCAGATGTCCACCACTTCGAACACGATCGAGCCCATTACAGCATTTACACGGTCCTTTCTCACCCCTTCCTTGATACCGTATTTGGTTTTTCTCACGAACCTCAATACGCAATCTGTTGCGACCAATTTAGTCTTTGGCTCATTTAGGGTTGTTGCTGGCTTTTTGCTCGACTGTTCCTCTTCGCTTGATTCTTCTCCTTCGCTCAACTCTTCGCCCGACGCTTCACTTCGCTCTTCATTATCGCTCGAGTTTCCCCTCCACTCTGAGCTGAATTCTGAGGTTGACCTTGCACTGGACCTTCTGCGTAACTTTCTGGGAGACTTTTCTGTCAACCCTTCGGGTTTCAAATTGACTTGAGTTGTTCCGAATTTGTACATGTAAGTATATCGAGAAGTACCCTCATCCCTAATTTGTGGAATTTTCCCCTCGGGAAATCCACAGAGGTTATTAATTGGGTCTTTAGCTTCATTCTCGCAATCGCTCCATTCACGATACATCTGTTGGACCTATTTCGAATATGCGAATTAGATCATAGGTTCATTCGATGCGGGTTGGAAAAAAGGCGAGATTATACGTACAAGCCTTTTAGCCGCAGGGTCCCATCCACCATCCATCCCCGAATATTTGGGAAGGTCCAGTACATGCATAAACAATATATCCAGAATGTATATATATCGGTTGCGGAACTGTAATCGTATTGCATCTTTGTGTTGCTGAATGATCAGGTCTTCCTCTTCTCGACCTTGAAAGTACCATTTGATGTTGACGACGTGGCCTATGCATGTTGCAAGCCACCATATTAGTAATGCTGGATGTTTTTGATGTGCCATTAGCCAGAATTTTAGACGATCGTTTGGAGTTTTGACAATGGGGTTAACGGGGGAACCTTTGGTAGCGGAATCTGGACGTGGGAAAAAACCCTGGTCTCGAAGTAGAAACCTTTGGAAGTTAATCGGACATTCTTTAGAAAGAAAAAGGTAAAATAGGGAAAGCTGACTAACATCATGATGGGTATGGCGGTATCCTCAATCATTCTACTTCTCATGTCGTCCTTGACTTTCTTGATCATCGTCGGTATCTGCCATCGTTTATCTGCGTATTCTGCTTCTTTTGGTAGTAAATTTGCAATTTCTCCTTGCGTCAACTCTCCTCTAAAGAAGAATATGATCTCTGCTAGACGCTTGACATTCATCATTGTGGGTGGGGTGCTTTGGTGGTCATCATTAGAGAGCTGGATATTCGAACTATTGGCCGTGGGAGTAGGGTCGCCAGAACGATTGCCAGCGGCTGCTAGGGCCCCTGAATGTTCCCGTATGCGGATAAAGACACTCGTATGTTCTCCATTAGGGACTGAGATACTGGAATATCCGCGGTTTTGGGTATTCGTACGACTGCCATTGGAGACTGCAGCGCTCGGTGAAGAGACTGCAACACTCGATGAATTCCTATTGGTCAGAACAGAATTTGAAGAATCACCATTGGAGACGAGGTTACTTGATTGATTGCTGTCGGAGGTGTGGGAACTATTGCCATTGGTATCTGACGTATTGTCACTGGTGGGTGGAGTGGATTCATCACTGTTGTGGCATTGGTCACTCGAATCGTTGCTATTGGAAAGAGAAGAAGTCAAATTTTCGCCATCAGTAGCTGTGTCCTCCTGCAGGCGTATGCGGTGTTTTCGATACAGGCACCCAAGTGGTTGATACGTTTGATTTCCGGTAATCTTGAGGTTATGTAGCTGACGAGCAGGTGAAATTGAGCCTTCTTCGGCAACAATGTATTTGCAGAGCGGGTGCAATGGCCCATCGCGCAGTTTGGGATCATCAGGGAAGCGTTCGCGCAGTTCCCCGAGGCATCTTGCTAGTTCGACTCGAGATTCGTTGGTATTTACTGCTCTAGTTAGTTTGGATGGAAATAGGATGGATGAATGGCGTAGGGAGAACAAACAATACTCAGTTGCCTCGGGTATAAGTCTACTATCGGTATTCATGGTCAAATCAATGCTTTTCAGATGGTTACTTTTCTAGACGTTGATTTCGACCTTCGCTTGGGTGAAAGGGATGGTCGAGTCTGGCGGGAGAAGAAAAATGATCGCAATGCGCCAAAACGATGATTGCCAATGGGTGCCTTGAGACAAAATCCAGATTGCTCGGACTGCTCTTCTGGAAATTGACGTTACTCCAAGGGCAGCAGCGTGCCTGCAAGGAGGGGTAGAGGGGGTGTAGATTTGTACATCAAGAAGTGTTGGTTGTCAAAAGATTGAACAGAAGCGAGAAAGTCAACACGTGCCGCCAAAAAAAAAAAGCCAATCGGCCAGTGGGTTGAGGGTACGGAGGTGAAGGTTTTTGCTGGAGATATTCTGTGTCTTGACAATTTGGAAGATGCTGCAATAGGCCAGTACTGGACGGTGAGGTGAGGTGACGCTCTCCTCTCCAGTCGTGCCTTCCTCTTCAACTGCGACTTCCGCAAAACAAGCAGGACCCACTTTCCATGGATCCATCACCCCTCCCCCTCCCCCTCCCCCTCCTTCAAAAGCAGAACTCAGGTCTCCATCCATTCAAACGTCGTCCCCAACTCTCATTTCTCTCCATCATTTCCTCCACCCACTGCGAGGTCGACGGATTCCACTTCAATTGACTGTCGTCTCGCACGGCATCGCATCTTCCTCATTCTCACCCTCACCATCAGATCATCGCATAGACAGTGGTGTGCCTTCCTCCAGTCCTTACACGCGTGCCCCGCGATTCAAGACTGCCGCCAAAACATGGCAATGACCAACATCCAAGAGAAGGATTTTCTCACCTGGGAGTGGGAATCGAAAAAATCCCATGGCGGCCCCCCAGGATCCATCTCACGAACCGCAGGAGACTTCATGTTTTTCGGTAGATTCGAAGGTGAATGGGCCTACTACTTCAACAAACGCTATCGAAAGTTGATTGAAGCACCTTACATTGGAAATTGGCATGGCGTATATGTGAGGGATCTTATACACCTCGTGGGAAAGATCTTTGCGATGATCAATCTCAAAGTCTCTCGGGAGATCAATCTCAAAGTCTCTCGGGAGGACTGCCTAAAATTCGTTGTACCAAAAGTCCTTCTCGAACGCCTACTGGAGAACATGACTCCCGCCGAACCCGACCGATACGCACGACACTGTCAACCCAAACTTGACAATGTCAACAAGTCCCTTGAACCTAATTAGGATTATTTCCTGTCTGACTATTCGACTTCGGTAGAGACGTTTGTTTATATCGGTGGACGGGAGTTAAAGTATTCCATGGACAGCACAAACTCATGGCCACCACTGGACGCCTCCAAGGACACCATGGAGGCTTTCATGGACGCCGCGTTTGATAAAAACCGTGTGATGAGTGTCTTCGATTCCTCAAGTGGTATTGTTGATTTTGAAATACTATTCGATCAACCCACGTTACACCCCAAGTTCCATGTTTGGATTCGATTCCTCTATCGGAGGATCTTAATGCGACAGTGGGAAATACATGTGAGAGAGATGAATGGTACGACGGAAGAGCGGGGGGGTATTATGAATTGGGTGAAAACAACTCTCACAGAGTGGAATAACTCGTCATCATGGGTACCATTGAGTCCTGAAGAATGCCCAGTCCGTTATGATATATCATGCCACTCACCTAGGTTTGGTGATTACAATGGCATCGAATACAAGCCAGTCATCGTTCCGAACGATCCCCTAACCGAGCAAAAATATCAACCAGAACGTGACACACAAGATCCGCGTTCTCCCAAAGCAGGCACCAATGAAGCTCCGCAACTTCCGAAAGAATCGGAGAACGAAGTTTCCCGGAGAGCGGCATCGACTGCTATCAAGACGCAAGCTATGGTCGAAGCCAACGCCTTGAAGAGAGAGGATGCTGAGCTGAAGGAGGAAGAGGGAAAAGAAGTCAAGAAAGAAGCCAACATCAAGTACAACTGGCGTGCCAATACAGAAGTAAAAGAGGATATTGATTTGGCAGGTGGCGTTATCAAGAAGGAAGCGAGGCAGGAGATTGATTTGACCTGTGAATCGATCAAGAAGGAAGTCAAGGACGAAATTGATCTGACGGGTACAGGTATCGAGAAAGAAACCAAAACCTGGGTTGGCAAGCGACGATTTGATGACTTCGAGGAGTTGAAGAGAGCTATCAACGACCCAAAGGTCTCCAAGAAGCCGCGGTATCGTGTGGTATATGAAATAGTCGATCCAGATGAGGAATGAGTTGGAACGTGCCAGAGGGCTACATTTGATTTTCTTGTTTGAGGAAAAATGTAGGAGCTTTGAGATGAAGGTACCAGAGCTGTGATGAGATGTTATGTGCTGGGCTTCTTGCTAATGATTTTACGGGGGTGCGTGCAGCTTCGTTTATGGGATTATGGGCCGAGATCTGACTTGACTAGAACATCATATTTGCTCAAATTGCTTACAAGGATTAGAAAACGGGAAGCGTACTGTGCTTAGCCGCATTCAGGAGGAAACTATTAGCTATGTAAAGCTTACGATATCAAGGATTAAATAATCGAACAGACGATTTCGATTTCTTCTCCTCTCCCTCCTTGGAATAAAATTGTGATAAATGCGTAGTGAGTTACTAAGATTAGAGACTCCGTCAGTTTTCCTGTGTTGGACTTTCACGTCGAATGTTGAATTTTGTCGAATGAATAAGGGGGAAGGTGAAGATTGAAGTGGGACCCAAGTTTCGGCGGGAAGGGGGGGGCGGAATATCTCATTCGCCGAACCGCCACATCATGAAATGGCATCACAGCTGTTCCCTTCGCTTTGGACTCGAAATCATCGTGTCCTTACACTCTGTACCGGCTGACTTCAAGATCCTCGAATGGTTCTCTATTCCGATTGTCACCTCAAGCTTACGGTCGCAAGCCAGAAACAGGAAAAGCTAGCACAACCACACTTTTTGCCCCTCCAATGTCAAGTGTCAACTTTGGGGGAAGGATTTGGCCTCGGGTGGCGTTTCTCCACGATATGTTTTCTTCCGATGTCATCAGTGCCAATCATTTGAAGCAGTACGCACGACGACAAGTGCGTCTCAATACTTGATAAATGGTGCAATCGGTCCGTGTGGTTTACAGGACAATTGGTTTGTGGAAAATCATTGCCTCTTCAGATACCGGTACCTCTAAGGTGAAATTTATCTTAAGGGAATCACTTTTGTTGTTTCTATTTCCATGCTTGCCTATTCCACACATTCAATTCACTGTCATTGACCATATCGCTGATTTGGCTGCTTGTGTATGCAGAGTTTGAAAATGTCCGACCCATTCAGCTCGGATGGGAGTTTCCGCTCACCATGATTTCATTTAATGGCCGAGGGTTAGGTTAGAAATACGTCACTTATGTTGCTGAACTATTTCCGTTTATTTCATTTTGAGAAGATCGCTTGTTTTAATTTATGTATGGGCAGTTTAGGGGGTGTGCCATCTTGCCGCAATCTCCCATTGTTGAAATTCCCAATCTGGGTTATGAACATTATATATTGCCTACCAATACACTAGGGTGCAGGATTTGCATGGCATTTCCCCTGTCGTACAGATAGGGGAGCACAACATGTTATTCATTGGCAAGCATACCGATTGGCTGGTTCACTGGTAGTCCTTATGTTGAAGCACATCCACTTTGCTTTCTATTGTCTTCAGTTTTGGGGCTTGGATTAGAGTTCAATAGTAGGGTTCAACCCTCTTGCCCATCACTCTCACAGATCATCCTTCAACTACATACTTAACGCTGGGTGCCCTAATTTATTTATCCCGTCTTCCACTCTTAACCTTTGCTTCAACACATCTTCACGCTTCGCATAGCTTATCTGCCAAATATGGAGGACCTCAAGCAACACCATTCTGCAACCGGATCTGCAGGAACCTCAACTGATCCAGGCGATAATGAGAAACACATTGGTATTGTGGTTGAGCATGCCTCTGGAAAATCTTCTCCAGGCCTTCCTGAAGATCCCGATGCCCATTTGAGCGATTCTGAGAAAGCTGAAATCGTAGGTCTCTTGAGGTAAAGTAACCAGTTTATACACATCTAACTGTATTCCAGGATCGAAAGCTGTTATGGAAGCTAGACTTGCAGTTAATCCCTTGGGTAAGTTGTCATCTTCACTTTTGAGCAGTGGTGGTCTCTAACTTCTAGGCAGCTTTGCGTATTGTACCTCCTCTCCTTCCTGGATCGAACCAATATCGGAAATGCAAAGATCCAAGGATTGCAAAAGAGTCTGGGAGGCATGTCTACGGGTCGCTATAATGCTGCACTTACAATCTTCTTCGTCTCATATGCGCTGTTTGAACCTCTTGCGAACATCCTTCTCAAGCGACTTCGCCCGTCCATCTTCATTCCCATTATCATGTATGACAACAAATCCTCAGCTTTGACTTCACTCCTAATGATATGACAGGATACTCTGGGGCGCTTGTATGCTTTCCATGGGCTTTATCAAGAATTGGAATGGATTAATGGTCGCTCGCTTCTGTCTTGGACTCACAGAAGCTGGCTTATATCCCGGTGTGAACTACTTCTTGAGCTGTTGGTACAAGAGACAGGAGTTCGGAATCAGAGCAGTAAGTCATCACCTTCAAATTGCATGCCTCACGCGCACAAGTGCGGCATGGTCTTGGCTCTATGATTGTACTGATTCACGTCCAGGCAATATTCTTTTCTGCAGCTGCAGTCTCGGGTTCATTTGGTGGTCTTCTCGCAGCAGCGATTAGTAAGATGAATGGTCTGGCCGGTTTACAAGGATGGGCTTGGATCTTTGTCATTGAAGGTTTGGCTACTATCTTGATTGGAATTGTATCATTCTGGTTGGTACATGATTTCCCAGATACGGCGACTTTTCTGTCAGAGCAGGATCGGGCTAGAGTTATTCGTCGGCTCAAGCTGGATAATCAGTCGAGCGCTGAACATGAGGAGTTCAAGATGGCGTATCTCTATGCGGCTCTCAAGGATTATAAGATGTACATCGGGATGTTTATGTGTAAGTCAATTCCCTTTCATTTATATGGAATGTCTCTGGAATAAAAGCAAAAACTAATGTATCTAGTTGCTGGATGTGCCATGCCGTTATACGGATTCTCTCTTTTCCTTCCCTCGATCATCACCAGCATGGGCTACAAAAACCCTACAACTGCCCAACTGATGTCCGTCCCTCCATACGCGTGCGCTGCCGCTCTTACAATTGGTGTCGGATTTTATGCAGATAAAACCGGCCGTCGAGGTATTTGCAATATGGTGGTACCCCTCATTGGCATCGTGGGGTTTGCTTTACTTCTTGGATCCCATGATGCACATGTCAAATATGGTGGCACTTTCTTAGCGGCCCTTGGTATTTACCCTTGCATTGCAAATACCATTTCTTGGGTCAGCAATAATATTGAAGGCGTTTACAAGCGTGGAATTGTTATAGGATTTGTTGTTGGGTTTGGAAATTTGAATGGTGTTGTTAGCAGCAAGTAAGTATTCTCTCTATATCAACCCACAATGTTGAATCCATTGGAACCACTTTCAAAAGCAGAATACGATGTTAATACTGCAAAGCATATTCTTCAAGGCTCCACAATACGTCGCCGGTCATGGTGTAATTCTCGCCTACATGACAACCTGTCTCCTCGGCTCCAGTCTCCTTATGCATGTCCTCCTCAAGCGCGAGAATGCAGCTAGACGTGCGGGGAAGCGAGACCATCTCGTTGAAGGCAAAACGGAAGCGGAGGCGGAAGCTATGGGCGATATGCGGCCTACCTTTATTTACACAATCTGATCTGGGGGCTGGGTCTCGTTGATGAGTGGGAAAAACAGTCACAGTTTTGTTTGCTGCGCCTGTTTCTCCTTGCAGGTTGTTGATTGATTTCTTTTGTTGGAAAATGGAGTTCTTTTGGTCAATTTGGCTATCGAAATTACGGTGGTTCTTTGGATGTGCATTAGCTGCTTTAGATGTGATGACATTGGAAGCTTTCGAGCGGGAGACCCGGGCTGGTGTAGACATACGCATAGAGATGAATCCATGCGATGATGATTCAATCTGATAGTGGTAATGCAAGAATTTTAAACTACTTTTATTTTCTGTCCTGTCTACGACGTTGTCAATCACCATCTTCTGCAGACTGCAGTGATGCGACCAGTGATCTATTTCTCCGATGAAGATAAGCTCCCGTCCCCATGCACCTAGCCTTTCAGATAGCTTACAGTCTCGGAAGGTTGAATGTATTGGGCATGGTTTTGGTCGTACAAACTTCATGTTCGGATGGTGTGTCGAGTCTAACCATGAGAGGCTTCTAGCTCCGGGTGGGTGCATGGTGCTCATTCTGTGGTACTCGTAACCCCAGCTATACAAACAACGATGTGGAATGTGTTTGTATGTTCCTCTCGTGTACTTTCCTTTCTGATAGTCGGATTAAACGCCTCTTTATTTTTTGGATGAATTGCTTCTGCGCACTGATCATTCGGAGAAGAAGATGAGAATGACAGATGCCATGGAGCTGACGGCCCGTCATGAGATCGCTGGCGTGCAACTACCCGCGTCGAGTGACCTTTGTTATTGGAAAAACGTGGTTTGCTGAGTATGGGCGTTACTCGGTATGAAGCAAGAAGCCTTCTTGCCATTTCGACTTTCTGCAAACGGGCGACTGGCACAGTTCAATCTATCCGTGCCGAATTACTCGTTGGTCTTTCTCCAGCGATTCAAAACTCCCCCATCTTGGATTGACACCTCACTTATTGTAGCCTTTGCCCGCCGATAGAAAATTTATATTTTATCGATACCGTTTGCAATCATTGGATGACATCTGGGCCCTAGAAAGGTGCCATGGTATTGGTGTTCCGGGATTGCGTATATTTTTGGTAGGTGTAATCTTGAATTCTGTACTTATGTCACTTCGCTTATTTCCTGCGGTTGAAGTTGTACCGAGAAACCAATACTCGTAGAACAGCGTGAATGTGTCTTCACCTTCAACACCAAGTACCTTTTGGCGACATTTCACTGATGTTAAAATATAGCTTCAGATTCGCACTCGGCCAAGAAAACATTGCAGGCGAGTTTGCGAGTCTGTTGTTGGTGTATGACTTAAGGAGAAGATCCCTAATTCTTCTTGTAGCACCAGGTCACAATCAATAGCTCACTTCCTCCTCAGCCTCACCTTCGCTTTCGATCTATTCAAAGACCTGACACCGAATTCTAATTTCAAACACTTCTTTCATAAGAGTGTACCCAGGATGAGGGATCCCCCTTGTGTCGATCTAGATTCAAGACTCTCCACCGCAGGTTCCACGACAGTGTCAATTTCGATCTCCCATCATGGCCTTTACGCAACAACAGATCTCTACTCTTATAATCATTGAGAGAGTCACCGCTAGTATATCACTCACTGCAACACTTCTCCTTTTCACTACTTTCCTTCTCGTCAAGGAATTGCGCACGCTGTCGAACACCCTCATTTTCTACGCTTCCTTTGCGAATGTCTTTGCAAACGTTGCGGCGCTCATTGGAGGGGAGGCTTTGAGGAATGAGAATGGTGCTTTATGTCAGTTTCAGGGATTTTTGTTGGAGATGTGAGTTCGATGTTGGGAATTGCTGCTTGTTGATGAGGGTGTGCTGATATGAGTAGGTTCATGCAATCGGATCCGATGTGGAGTTGTGCTATGGCTGTAAATGTATATCTTGTCTTCTTTCATCGTTATGATGCCCATCGATTGAAGAGGTTATACTGGCTTTATGGGTTGATTTGTTATGGATTGCCTTTCATACCAGCTATATTTTGTCTACTGTATAAAACGAAACAGAAGGGGAAGATGTATGGGAATGCGACTGTAAGTGTCAATCCTTCATTCGTCATCTCCTTCATTGAACGGGGGGAAGTTACTGATGGTTTTGGGCAGCTTTGGTGTTGGATAGACAACGAATGGGCAGCTGTAAGAATCTACTCCTACTACGCGCCCGTCTGGCTCGCTATCCTCATCTCTCTCCTCGTCTACCTCCGAGTCGGGATTGAGATTTTCCAAAAGCGATCCGAACTTCGCGCCGCCATAGAGAGCAACCCAAAGTCAACGCATCACACAGCCACCGCACCGTACATCCCAATGCCTGCATTTTCAGGAACTCGAACAACAGAAGTACAAGTTACAAGCGACCGCAAACACTCCATCCCGTCCCCCACCCTCGAAAGACCATACCCCCGTCCGAAAAACGATTTACTGCGATACGCAGGCCATCAAAAAGAGGCCTACACAATAACCATCTCCGCCTCTCATCTTCCTCGCTCATCCTTACCCTCACACACAACATCAACAGTATCTTCCACCTCTCCCATCTCAACAATAACTCCTCACGTCCCTTTCCCCACAAAGCGCCAGGTTCCAGCCATTGATAAGATCAAATACGCATACACCAAGACCGCACTCCTCTTCGCTATCTCTATCCTGATTACTTGGGTCCCTGCATCGGTAAATCGGGTTTACGGGTTGAGGTATCCCCGTGAACCGAGTTTTGCATTGAACGTTGGAAGTGCGGTTGTTCTGCCGCTGCAGGGATTTTGGAATAGTGTGATATTCTTTGGGGGGAGTCTGGGCGTTTTGAGGAGATTAGTAAAGAGGAAGAGAGAGGGGATGGGTAGGAAAAGCAGTGCGGTGGGTTTTGTGAATTTGGAGATGAGGAGGGAGGGGAGGAGTGGAGATTTCAAGGAGCATGAAAATATCGATGACAATAATGATTGCAGAGGAAGTGGGGGAAAAGAGGAAGAGGTTCGAAGATGAGCATTAGGTGTTGTTGAGGTATCTGGGGATATTGGGTGTTCTGATGTTTAGTAAGGGGGACGAATTAAGCGAGTTTCAGAACCAAATGAGCAAAAGGACTGCTGTGTCCCAGAATTCAATAGAACTAATTATTTGTACATTAGTCCCTTGGCTTCCCAGTAAGCTATTTAGGCTACCGGTACTGAGAAAGTTGCATTTTAATGTAGCAGATTTAGGGACCTTGGATTTTGAGGTATTAATTGAAAGCGATGCCAGCTTTAGCGCGTGGCTCAGATACTCTCTAAGGGGACCGCAATTTGGCAGAGGGGCAGGACTCTCCATTGCTAATAGGTATATAGCAGAGCAGGGACAGAATGAATTGAGCACGAGATATTTGGTGGAAATAATTTTGGCTTAATCTCGATGGGCCACAACAAATTACGTCCACCGCAAGTCACATAATAATTTTCGTAGTACGTTGTTTGGAAGGGAGATGGATAATACAAAACTGCTCTGAGCGAGCAGACAATCGGCGGCTCATACTCGCTCAGCCATAATACTAACACCTACATAAGCGAAAGAAGTTACCAATGCTGAAGCTTTCACTTGTAGTTTGATGGACACGGCGGCGAGCCGCCCTCGATGCTTTCGTTTCCGAAATGCTAAACGGTACTTGATAAATTTGCTATTGACACATCCCTCTAGCGAACATGCCTGTCATAAAGTAGCCGCGGTGCAATACCTTTCCATCTATTAGCGTTTCTAAATTTGAAATAGTTTCTTTATTTGAAGACACCTCTTGTTTAATTTCTGCTCTGCTGCTATGATAAGAGTCACTTGCTCCAACTACTTGTTTCCCACAATACTCAATCGATCAGCTTGTATCGGTTACAGTACGATTTTACCCGATGAGCATTTCTCATAGACAAATTACAATTGACCCGGCATAATTTGGTGGCCTGAAAGACCAGAAGGTTATTAAGTGCACTGATTCCTATCTAAAATAAATTGTATGAAAGACATTCCTTAACGTGAGGCTCTGTGGAAAGCAAATGGGCAATAAAATCGTATGTGAGATGAAGTAGATGTGGGTCAAGAAGCGGTTGTATTGATTATTTTCGGTCCTCAATAAAATCCCCAACTATGATAGTCCCTATCAGCTACCTAGTTATATCCTCGTACTTCGTAGTTGAGTCCCTAGCATCCAACCCCCCGCCCGAAGCTTTATTCTCGAGTATTTCCACCAGCCACAGAACCCTGGTCTGTGCGTCTTTGTGACCAATGGTGAAGGTTTTAGTGCCGCTTGTGCCTGCGGCTAAGATGCAATCACTGCAGCTGCTTTTGAGGTCGTTACATGCTCTTGTAGTTACAGCGTTGTCGGCGACGCCAAGGTTAGGGTCGAAGATACACCAGCCTTCCTTGAACTGGCCGTACACACCAGTAGCCATGGCGGCAATGACGAGCAGGTTTCGGAAATGCATTTCGTTGGTATCTTGTCCTGAGTGCTTGCAATTGGATGAAGTATGCCGTCAAGGGGAAAATAGCTAAAGGATGAGAGCGGATGACAAATCGAATAGAGAAGTGCTGGATTGCTTAAGGTGAGCAGAGAAGGAAAGGCTATCTATATACTGAATATTCTCCTCCCTCTTGGTGCGAAGGGATACCTTCTGCAAAATTGCCGGACACCGGGACAGGCCCAACAATTAAACCCAAGACCGGAATTGTTACAGAAAGACTCGCTACAAGGATATATAACCCTAAAATATAACCTTTTAAGCCAATACCTAGGGTTGTCGGATTCATGTGGAGTTATATCTGTTCCGGTTTTAAGGTGGATTGTCTGATCTGTCTGGTCTGATTATACCGAGGTACCACTTCACTTCGAAGTAATAGAAGTAGATACGACTTTGATAGCCTCCGATCGATTATTCCGCGACTTTAGAGCCTGTTTTCCGACGATACGGAGGTTGAGCCTCAATATCCTGTGGGGGAATAGTGCTTGGAAGGTCCACAATAGAGACCCTTAGGACCGTGGAAAAAAGTGGCTCTCGTGCTCTACTGGTCAGAATCGTTAGTCTGAAGAGTGTCCTTCAGGGTTTACACGCTGTAGCTTCAGCGTGATAGAGCCTGATAGGGCATAAAACCCTTAGTGAGCGTTGAATAATAAAAGGTAGTGTATTCGACAGCAGCGTTCGGCAACTGGAATTCCATTCCATACCAGACCCCCCCTATGGAATATACCATGCCATTTGTACTAATCTCTTGAATATACCATTCCATATAGGGTGGTTCTATGGCATTCCATGGAACAAAATCACATGATCCGGAGTAAAGTTTCCCCTTCCGAAGACTAAGAGAAATTCTCTTTTACTTAGCGCTTAGGGTCAGTGAATAATAGTATTACGAATAAGCTACTAGCTTGTCATGTGTTTTGGAATTCCATAGTTCCATGGAATACCAGAGCCTATTCGATGGAAATAAGTGTGCCATTTACAAGGGCCTCTAACAATATTCCATATGGAATGGAATTATGGAATCTATGGAATCGAGTACCATTTGCCGAACGCTGTTCGAAAGCATTTTGCTTTGTTTACTCCTAAAACTATAGAATATCCCTAGGTTTTCTAACTAGATAAAACTTAGACTCTAGACGCCTGTAAAAAACTAGGACATATAAAGCGCTCGCATGATGAAATTGAGGTCGACTTGTTGGTCCTGAGCAAAAAGTCCTTTTATCATGTCTTTTAGTGGGAGGAAGATTGTGCCTCAATATCCCAGGGATTAAGGTTTACTAGGTAGGCACTTAGCTCTGTACGTAGACGGAGTCTTGGATGATCCACATAATATGCTATTTGGCGATGTTGCGGCTCAATATCGTCTCGGAAAATAGGCTCTCAATTGCCTGGTAACTTGCATGCTCTGTATGCTTTAATACATGTGTGACGGCAATTGACTAAACTACCCTCTAGTTAATTGAAAATTTCTCAAATACCCCTTGTGTAGTTGAGTAATGACTGTACAGGACTACCCCTTACATTCGAAAAAAGGGGTAGTTCTATTAATATCGCTCAAGAAGTCAGGTGTTTCTATCAGTAAACATTTCACCATCTTTTAAGTACTCCGTACTAGATGCCGCGATGGGCTGGGGGACAGGTGACGAAGCAGGCAAGGAGGCTGAAAATGGCTTCAGGTGAAATCGCCAGTGCCAAACCAGACTGTGAGAGATACGTATGTATTGATCAGGAAAGGTGAAATTTCAAACAAAGACTCAACATCAACATATACAGGAACTTCACAGGCCCTTTTCCCTGTGGCGGCCTCCCGGGAGTAAGCGAGAGACGAAATTTAAGCGAGCAAAGAGAATGAAATTATTGAAATTTTGAGCATGAAAGTTAGCATTCAGTTGAGCTAACTAGAAAATAGAATCCAGAGACTCGCAGTACTGTATAAATTTCATAGCGCTTGGCCGCTATCACATGCTAGCGCATTCGCCCATGTGAGCTCTTCTCAACAGAAATCTCAAATTTGATCATGACCAATGGACCATTCTATTGCGTATCAATGCCGAGATAAAGACCTTTGCTCGCTCGTGTTTTGGTGAAATAGCAACTTTGTAATGAGACACGGTATTGCTGCTGGCTTCTTCTGTGAACAGCGTAATAGAGCGGCTCCACCGAGGTATAGTGCGGTAATATCGGGTGACCGTCGCTTTCCAGTGACGTGGGCTCTTCCTGCTTGGGCGTACTTGAAAAGAGTGCGCTTTTGGGAATACGATATAAGTCGTTGCAACTCAGCCAATCTCTCAATAGACTAGTTTCGACGCGAGAAATACAACAAGCACCTATACGCATCTCATCTGCCACAAGTAGAGGCTAGGCAGCCAGTAACGAGTAGCACTCCTCTCCTTGTTCTACGATGGGAACTGCAACGCAGACATCTATGCGCATCTGACCTCCCCACTGGCGTCAATACCCTTCACATAATACCAATCTCTGCCCGTCTTGTCTTTCGATGCAACGCCAACATTGCGCTCAGTATCGAACCCTACATCTGGCGTATCATTAATTCTGTAGCAACACGTGTTTTTGCCATTCTTTTCGCAAACCCCCATCCCCTTGAGTCCCACCATTACAGAAGAACTTTGCTTCTATGATAGTTGAGGAAGCGACAATGCTTAGGATAAGAGTAGAGTGAAGTCTCATGGTGATTGGTAGATCAAAGGTGGTAGATTAAAGGTAGTAGGGAGAGAGTAGTATGAATTCTGCTAACTGAAGTATTGCTGCGAAGCCTGACAGGATAAAAAAGCAATGATAGTAATTGTGGTTGTACTTGAAGATAACAAATTTTTAGATTGCTAGATGAGCCGGATCTCTTCTTATATACGTCGAGGAATATGTAGTACTGGGTGCGGGATTTACTTGAGGTAGTATTTATATTCCTAAATAGCCGAAACTTGGACATCCATGATTGTCTCAATCTAACAAGCATAGAGCCACTATAAAAGTCTCCTCACCTTACCTGAGGGGAGGTAGCTTTCTCAATGTGTAGCCTATCGTGCACGTTAAATCTGACGGCTCACACCACTGATAAAAACGTTCGAAGTCATGAACATTTCGTAATCCCGATGATACGTCAGTACCGCAGATTTGCGATGATCAAGATCCGAGAAGTTTCCTCCGAGTCTCGATGATATTGGACAATTATTAGTAATAAATTCGATTCTGAACCACAGACAAACAAATCATGACATGATTTGTACAGTATCCGCTTGTGAGGATATCTCGATGATCATCTTATTTGAATTATTCCTACCCCTCAACATCCGTTCCGCCCCGCCCCCACTTGAGTAAGTAAGCTTAGAAGCTCCCCATCTCAACAGCTTCCTACATTTTCATGTAGTACGGGTATGCAAATCACTATTGCCCATACACAGACCTTTTGTCAAGATGGCAGACATCGATATCAATCTCCAAAAGATTCAAGAGCTACTCATTAGCATCGCCCATGAGGCGGGCAAAATGATGCTCTCCGCAACTCCCTCCCACCTCAACTCAGGCACCAAGAAAAATTGTAAGATGACTCTGCCCAAACTCTGCCATTGCAACTACAGAGGCTGACCAATTCCGCAGCCGCAGATCTCGTGACCGAAACCGATCGCGCAGTCGAATTGATGGTCTCAACGCGCCTCCAGACCACGTACCCCTCGTATTCATTCATCGGCGAGGAAACTTACGTCGCAGGCGAAACCGAATTGACCGACGCACCCACCTTTATCGTCGACCCCATAGACGGAACGACAAACTTCGTCCATACATTTCCCGCATTTTGCATATCTCTCGGCTTCACGGTCAACAAGATCCCTAGCGTGGGGGTAATATACAACCCTTTTCTCGATGAATTATATACCGGTATTCTGGGCCAGGGATCATTCGTGACATACAAAAGTGGAGAGAAATTGAAGCTGCCTTTGAGACAAGAACCCGAACCGCTGCAAGACCTCTCAACTTGTCTTATTGGTGCAGAATGGGGCTCGGACCGCACCGGTCCTAATTTCGCTCTCAAATCCAAAGTTTTCACAAAATTAGCCGCTTCCAAAGAAGAGGGCGGTGCTATGGTGCATTCGTTAAGGTGTGTTGGGAGTGCGGCTTTGAATTTAGCGTATGTTGCGGCTGGACAACAAGATGTGTTCTGGGAGGGCGGATGCTGGGCGTGGGATGTTGCTGCAGGTTGGTGTATTTTGAAGGAGGCTGGTGGGATGATGGTCAGTGGGAATCCAGGAGATTGGCAGCCGAAAGTTGATGGGAGGGTGTATATGGCTATCCGAGGGGCGGCAGAGGAGGGCCAGAAGAAGATTATTGAGGAGTTTTGGGGAATCGTCGGGGAGGGTAGGTTGATTTACTGAGATCAGTCAAAATACCGATTGGGGTAAGAACAATCGCAATTCCCGCTGGGCTATACATGCCTCTTTTCAACGCCTTCTTGATTGGGAAGTTGAGTGTTGATTAAGACAGCACTACAACTCACTCAAGTACGTGGCAAGTTGGCACAACCCCTATAGTTTTAACAGAGCTTAGGAAGGTAGTACAAACGTCATAGAACTCGAATACATGGGTAACTTGGAATAAATACATCTGGAATAAGAGGGACGAGAATCAGAGCACCTGATACAAGAGATATAGATGAAAGAGGAGATAGAATCTTTTGCTATTTGTTCTAGTAATCTAGATCTCAGCAACTGCACTCACCATCCCACTCCCGGCTGTTAGTTCATATAGGGCTACTACAGAACATGTTGTTCAACATATAGCTTAGTTGAGGTCCAAGTACCGATGCTTGTAAAAGACCTGTCTAATACTCCAGAAACACCTATGATTATTTTTCTTAAAAGACATTTGACTTCATTATCCCTAATCACGTGAGTAATGAAGATGTATGGATTCACATTATCCCAATCCCTCACGTAACTATGTTAGTTTAGTTGTACAAGTCTTTCAGGGTAAGGTTATTCTATTGTAGGTGTATTTAGAGTAATGACGGCCCCTCCTACTCTTCCTGGCCTATTCAACTTTGAAACCAAGTTAAGTGTTTGCAAAGTACTATGCATTAACCATGTTCCTGTTTCCTTCTTACAGCTATTAACAATCACATACAGAGGTAGGCGCTTTGACCTGTAAATTCACCTCTACTTACCAAGTTGATAAGGGAACGAGACTAAGCACGGGTATTTTCTGTTATTGTTATTGTCAGTCATGTTTACCTGGAGCTAGACAAACGTTTATCCATGTGTTTTTCGCTGGTTGTGACCATTTCCCTTCTGATTGATTACAGACAATATCAGTGTGTATACTTATAAGTGAGTTCTTGCCCCAAGATTTCCTTACAAGCGAGTCTGTAAGTCGACTTCTGGAGCCGCTTCTCGGGATTCTGCACACGATTTTTTGGGGGACTTGAATGTGTTTTCTATTCATTGGCTCTATGCAGCATGGAGCTCAAAGGTCTCATCAACTGTTTTCGAAAGGGTCTTGACTTTACTTTCCCGACCACCCCCTCCTACACCTCTAAGCCTTCGTATCGAACCGGAAGTTGGAACTCGACACATGGGAAATATCTCTACCGAAAGTTACCACCACATTGTATCCGAGTACTCGAACTCGAGTCTGCAGACGTGCCCGACGCACCAATCATCCTCTCGATGCAGTTGCCGGTCTGTCACATCCGCCTCCATTCGAAGCCCTCTCATACGTCTGGGGAAAGCGAGAACCCTTGGTCCAAGTAACATGCAATGGTTTTAGAGTGGATATCACACCAAATCTCGCTCTGGCTCTTCTCCAAATTCGTCGACCCATCAAATTCGGACCTCGAAGAATTTGGGTTGATGCGATTTGCATCAATCAAGATTCCGAATCCGAAAGATCCGCTCAACTCATGAAAATGAAGGATATCTACTCCAAGGCATCCTGTGTTCTCATCTGGCTCGGTGACGCAAACATTAACGAGGAAACCTTTGGAACAGCGGCCAAGCACATCTCTTCTCTAGCAAAGTTCCTTCGTTATGGAAGCGAGTCCACCACTCCCAACCTTCATCAAATAGCCGCCATCCTAAAGCAGCCCGACCAACAAGTAACTTTCGAGTTCCGAAAGTGGCTGGAGAATACTACGAATTGGCAATTTATTCAGTCCATCCTGGCATCAACGTGGTTCACACGGGTTTGGATAATCCAGGAATTCGCCCAAGCGAAGGATTTCAAGATCATGATTGGGTCTTACATGCTTCCCTCTTTCGATTTCTTCCTCTGCGCTCTTTACGTGAAGAAAAACCACTACAACCTCTCCTCCTTGGACGAAGAGCGTCTCGATCACGTCGTTCGAATATACAACATGCGATTTAGAAACCATCTACTTCCCCAAATCGAAGCTGCGAGTATGTTCATGGCCTCAAATCCTAGAGATAAGATATACGCCGTTATTGGATTGCCTCCTGTAGAAAATGATCGGGACTTTGACAAGAGATCATTGTTGAGAGCAGATTATACTAGGCCGACTTGGGAGGTTTACGGAGACGTTCTGAGACATTTTATATGTTTGCCAAGAGAAAGAGAGTACCACGCCTTTGGGGAGCAGTCAGTTGGCGGACAGAAGTATGGAGAGGGAGTCTTAGATATATTGAGACCACCTGTGCAACACGGATTATTGGGAAATAAGGAGAAATGTGTTGTGAGTACGGACGAGTGGCCAAGCTGGGTTCCGAGATGGGATTTAATCGATGACACTTATCGACATCCGCCAGGGATCTGGGCTATGAATCCGAAATACCTTTGGCGACCTTCGGGCGAAACGGCTGTCAAATACCTACCACCAAACGGTGAAGAGTTGAATAGCGTTCTGAAGTTAAAAGGTGTCAAGGTTGGAGTTGTGGAAATGATCTTTGATGGTGTGTTGAAAGGGTATACAATGACCGAACGAAACTCGAAAGTGTGTGTAAAGACTTTGTTGAAGCGAGTTCAAGCTGTTTTTGAAATCGACCTGGATAAACCATTTAAACAGTACCGTGGACCTGGAACACTCGAAGCGGATTTTGCAGAAGTAATCACTGCCGGTTCTCTAACCGAACTATCCCCTAAAGACTCAACGAGTAGCATGGAGACACTACGAAACGTTGTGGGAACTGAAGGACTGGTTTTGCAGGAATGGCTTAGTGGTACAAGAGCTAGCTCCAAATCATCGAAGGAAAATATGATGGTGAAAAGATTAGTAACAGTTCTCAGACCAGCAGCAAGAAGTCTTTCGAGAAGGAATTCAGGAAGTGGTTGGAGACGGATGATGGAGAACCCCTAACAAGACAGCAAAGCTTGCCGGATGATAGCGTTCTCAATCGTTTTGGTAGAACAGTCAATCTTAATCGTACCGTCTTTGTTACTGAGGATGGTAGGATTGGAATAGGAAGTAACAAGATTAGAGTTGGTGATGAGGTTTGGATGTTGTATGGGGGTCGATATTTGTATGTTGTTAGAGAAGGTCCAGAGATTACAGATTTTGAATTTACCAAGACAAGACAACTCGTGGGTATGGAATCGCCATAGGGCGACTACTCGAGTAGTCCGAAGAAATCTGGCGTTTTTGGATTTGGAAAGAGACCAAGAAGTCGGGATACTAATGTGAGAGATGCACTTAGCAGCGATGCACAGAAAAAAGGCAGCTTAGGTTTTGGAATGAGACAACGAAGCAAAGATGGCGACGAAGCTAGAGCTGAGAGTGCAGGTCGTCCAAAGTCTGCGTTCCTGATGGGATTGATGGGTGGTCGAAGTAGAGAGAGTAGTGAGGGTGCTATGGGAAGCGCCCCTGCAACGAAACGTATGAAGGGAAAGAGTCGCTCGAGGGGGGGAACTCCTGAAGGATACGATTCGGAGGTTGCGATGTCACAGGCTATTCCTATCCCCTCTACGGGTATTCAATCGTCACCAGGTATCAAGGTTGGCTTTGAAGGTGATCTGAACCCTTCCCCTCCAAATAGGCACAGCATATGGGATACGGGAACGAGTTTGAGAGCGAAGAGTATTGGACTCATGATGCGTAGGACCAAGGAAGACTCGAAAGAGCCATTCACAGGGCTTTCAGACACAACAAGTACTCGAGTCCCATCGGAAGATCGGGCCCTCTCGCAGCAGAAGGTGAGATTGTTTGTTGGAGAGGGGTTCGTTGGTGGTTGGATGGAAAATGAAGCTGTCTCTGCTGTGAATAATGGGGATCTGGATGAGGGGTGGTTGGTATTGATATGATATATTTCCCTTGTAGATAGATGAAGCACATTGCCTGAAATCTTTCAATGAGTGAGGTCAAAGGTCTTTGGTGATCTCATGAAATACAGTACAAGTACCGTAAGCGAGTGAGAAGCGAGGGTAATGCTCCTGCGAGTGCGCCCGCCTCCGCAAAAACCGGTGCAATCAGGTTAATTGTGCACTTAGGGAAACGTATGTAGATTCGAATGAAGGCCGGTAATTCAATCTATTAAATTCTCATCTGCGAGCCCAATGCCACCGTGGTCCATTGGGATGTGTAGAAGTGTTGCGATCCCGATGAGTTTTTGGTGTTCCTGAGCTGTGGCGGACTTGGCGGACTTGGCGTACGGTAGTTTTTTGCTGGTGCCTCACCATCCACGTCTGTGAGAAGGCTACCCACTGCTTACCCTACCCTATGCTACAACACATGTTCGTTTCTCTTCCCCCCTAACATGTCGCATCCCTCCTTGCGCATGCGCATCCTACGCCATACCTCCCCAGGATTGCGATTGCGGCTCAAGCCCCCGACGTCGCGACCTGTCCCCTCATTCCGGAAGGTTGGTCGAGTGTCACTTCAGACCTCACGCGCCGTGTCGACGTCCACATCCACATCCACACCCGCTACAACTGGCGATGCGAGCTCCCTGGTAGCAAGATTCCGATCCCTCTTCTGGGGCACATCCCTCTCCTTCTTCGCCGTCTTCGCCTACCTCTATGCCACCGACACTCGAGCCGGTCTCCATCAATGGCTGGTCCCGCCTGCGATACGACTGATGTATCCCGACGCAGAGGAGGCACATCATGCCGGCACCCTCATCCTCAAGACGCTGTATTCCTTCGGCCTCCACCCCCGCGAACGAAACTCCAAGGCCCGCGATGCGGAAGGAGTAGATTTGGGTGTCGTGGTGTTCGGGCAGAAGCTACAGAACCCAATTGGCACTTCGGCGGGTATCGACAAATTGGCTGAGTTGCCCGATCCCTTGATGGCTCTCGGGCCCGCGATTGTCGAGGTGGGAGGCGCCACACCATTTGCTCAGGAGGGAAACCCCAAGCCCAGAGTTTTTCGTCTGCCGGCTCACAGGGCGTTGATCAATCGATATGGTCTGAATGGACTGGGAGCGGATGACATGGCCAAACGGCTGAGGGAACGAGTCCGTTCTTTCGCATACAACAATGGCCTTGGGGCGGGGGAAGAGGCGGTCGAATCGGTCCTCAATGGTGGTGCTGGTGTTCCACCTGGAAGCTTGGTCGAGGGAAAGCTGCTGGCGGTTCAAGTAGCAAAGAACAAGGACACCAAGGACGAGGACATCGAGGCCGTCAAAAGGGACTACGTATACTGTGTTGAAAGATTGGCACCTTACGCGGACATTTTGGTGGTCAATGTGAGCAGCCCAAATACTCCAGGTCTGAGAACTCTCCAACGAGTGGAACCCCTCACCCGTATCCTCGAGGGAGTCGTAGGTGCTGCACGCGCCTCGAAAGGGAAAACCCCGCCAAAGGTCATGGTCAAGGTTTCTCCTGATGAGGACGAAGACGAACAGATGGAGGGTATCGTGGAGGCTGTGTGGAAAAGTGGTGTTGACGGAGTCATCGTGGGCAACACTACGAAGCGACGAGATAACCTCATTTCAAAAGACATCAAATTGACGCCGAAGGAAAAGAGAATTCTCAACGAGCAAGGCGGCTTCTCTGGCCCACAAATGTTTGAGCGAACGAAGAGTCTGGTCAAGAGATACAGAACTTTACTCGACCAAGGACCTCCTCCCGAAGTGACTTCGGAACATGAGAAGTCTTTGGCTTCTCCGTCTACTCTGTCAGAGAAGGCTAATGCCGTGAAAGAATCTGTCAAGAGATCCGTTGGGGAATTGGTGGAAAATGGAAAGCATGTCCTCCCTACAAGCCACGAACAAAAGGTCATTTTTGCTACCGGTGGTATTGCAAATGGGAAACAGGCACTTGAGGTACTCAATGCCGGTGCCAATGTTGCACAAATCTACACAGCCATGATGTAAGTGGCTTCTCCCTTCGCTACCATCAAAGATCTATTTTTCAGTCATGGTTCTGATGACGTGGCCCATTCCCCTATATCTTATTATGCAAGATCATGCTGACTCGAAATCTCTAGATATGGCGGTGCAGGTACAGTTTCCAGAATCAAAAAAGAAATGAAGGAAGAGATCCTTCGCCAGTCAAAATAGATTTGCCGATGTCCCCTATGTACATAGATAGATCTTATACAAAACCGAAGAGAATATAATTCTAACCCTTGGCGTAATATGAGTGATTGTCTTAATTAGCTAGATCCAGAGAACATAGAGAAGATTAAGCATGTTCCTACTATAAGATGATCTATGATACCGTATTTATTAGAATATAAGATAACATTCTACAAATAAAAAGTTCGTCCAGAGGCTATATCGAACAAAAATATTTGCCCCACTTTTTACGGGTGTTTAGGTTAACCAACCCCTATATCCATATGTTTTGCCCCTAACGACGTCTAACCTGTTTAATCTTCAAACCTATTCCACTATTCCACATCTAAGATTAAGTGCATTTTTGTGTTAAGAATGGGACAAGGAATGGGACTTAAAATCATTCTAAATGGCGGTTGTAGGGTGGTTGTAGGGGCCAAGTCATAAATCGGGCGAATATAACCACTGATAGTGGCGAGGATACAGAAGACGTATTTGATAGTAACGACGACGAGGCACATGGATATAGATATGGACAGATAAAGTGTAGGATGGTAGGGTAAATACACGGGGTAATATAGGAATAGCCTCACTTTTCACAAAATTTATATACGAGTTTTTTGTGTACCAATTTTAGAACCAAGTTTTGACAGTGTAATCCTACAATCCTGAGCGATTTAGAGCATGTGGTGGTGGTGGAATAAGTGCTCGAAAACTAATATAAAATAAAGAGATTTGGATCCTAGCTATCTGATTGGCTAGACTTATAAGATATCAATATTTTGAGAAATTTGAACCTTCTTTTATATAACCATTTATCTTATTTACGGATGTTATCTTATATTCCAATTAATACGGTATTACTTTTCATAGATACTAGGTGCGAGGGCACGTGGAGGGGTACGATTACATTGATGAATGCGGTTCGCTTAATAGACGAGAGCTAAAATGCGGATAGCGGAAAAGTGACGCTACTTTGTTTCATATCAATGGAAGTAAGACTTCCAATCTTTTCGTTCGTTGTCATTTGTTTCGACAATTTGCTGGAACAATTCTTGTTACGATGGTGGCATTTGGGAGCGGAAGAGGGAGAGTCACATGACTTCTCTCGGGGCAATTCAACACACATCTATATATTGTTAGTATAACAATACCATACTCTGCTTCCAGTGATACCCTGACACGTTGATCATTCAACGAAGATTCACGATGTGAAACATTCGAATAGGTCGCTAAGGGCGTCTAACGTTATTACCGAATTTATTGAACTTGTGGTCATTAAAGATGGTATTTGATTAAACTACTGGGAAAGAGAGCCTAGAGATTTGTATAACTAAATACAATTCTTGGCGTTTGGGTCGCTATCAAATGCTAGTTCCTGCTAGTAAATCCACTGAGATGAGCTCTTCTCAATAGAATTAGGTATAAGATCGCCATTAGGGGGCTTTCCCGACGTACTTCTCTACGAAAATATGAGGGTTCATAGCGGGTAGGGCGCTTGAAATCTTGTATAACGTTGGCTATCCTTGTTAAGCCAGCTCTTACAAATTGACTTCTCAATATATCATCCTCTCGTGGCTTATGTGAAGGGGGTGGGATGGACAACTATGCCTGGCCCCTGCTCCATTTTATGTAGATCATGTCTGAGAAAAGTCCATTACGCTTAAATCCGAATTTGTAATTCTGTGATTGCGCTAAAGTATAGGCCGGGATATACTATTAGTTTGCAGGGTACGATTCCGAGCTGTCTATTCCCTTTACTTTTTCAATATAGTCAATCGTCGCTGAAACTTTCAAGCTTGCTACGAGAAGACAGTTCCCTTTAAAGCAGGTGAGAATTTAATTGCACACTATCATGTAATTCGTATATATTGGAATTTTATGTCAGCCACATCTAAGTCTCTCATTCGTCTGTTTCTATTGGGGTCTAGCTTTGATATATACCAAACAGGGGATAGAACTGAACACCCACACTATCACAAGTAAGGTAAATCGGTCATGCTATCAAATCCTTACACTTGCCAAGTCATTCTGTCCTGAGCCCAACTTGTCGGGTCGACAGGTGTCCAAAGAGCATAGAAGAGGTCATGCATCATGTATCATATTAGCAAATATGGATACAGCCGCTGCCACGTGTGTACCTAGGTATCTATTGGAGCTTACCCCCACTCGAGTAGACTAAATGGAACTTGACATTAGGTTTCTGAATAGAAGAAGAGCATGGGAATAGGGTACATCATACTCCTTTTATAACTAATAGGGTCAAGTTCTTGCTTCGCTTAGCAGTGTAAAATAGCGATGGATATTGAACACGAACGTCTAATTGGAATCTAACTGTATTTAGCTATTCACAAGTTGTACATCGCCAACTTCGGTATAGACTATAGTACCGCTGAGAATGTAAAATTTGGACCGCAATGGCTCGGCACTGCCGGTATAGGAGATGAGGAGCTTGGAACTTGGAAGTGATGGAAGCGGCGTTGGTCTGAGGAAAGGAACAGCCAGCACCTCCTGCTCTTCCCGCACCTCTTTTCGCAACAAGACCCGCAGCGCGCCGAAAGAATCCCCGAGTAGCCAATCGACGAAAAGTCCCGCCGGATGCTGAAGGGTTGGTGGGCGAAGGGGGTTAGCAGAGGCTCTATTATCTCACCATCTGATTAGATCTCTCCTTATCAGATCAGGATCTGATTAGACAAGGAAAAAGTTTTCAAGGTAATGTGGGGGCGCCAATGCGCCACTCCGAGCTGCCCCGCTTAAAGATACCAATGGAGGGACCGCAGCTCTTGGTGGCGGGAACATTCACCCCACTACTGAAGCCATACGGACGAACTGCAGCTGCCATCATGAGAATCCTTTTCCGAGGTCGGAAATGTGACCCTTTGCTATTTTCCACAAGGCTACCGCGATGCATAGAAATCAGCTCATCCCACACGGTAAATGCACCAATTAGCTAGTCTGCAGGACCGTAGACAGAAACTGCCCTGTCAATGGAGCCTTACATCCCTAGAATGCTTTACCTCGTATGCATCTCGCAAAGCTCAAGGAGTCCCCTGCTATCAACACCCAGAGCCTGCACAAAAACCTTGTCCACTACTACCCACACCCACTCTGATTGTCCGTCGACGGAAGCTTGGAGTCTTATAAGCACTCGTCCGTTCCCAATTCTACCATACCTGCCACGGTCTTCTCGAGCTCGCCATTCTCGTGGTAATCGGAGAGTTCGAACCACTTCATTGTGAAAATCGTACCACTTCACCACGTCTTACAATTAATACTAATACTCTGGCCATCGTGTCAGCAGCTTCACAATGGCTTCCCAAGCAAGCCCAGAGGTGGTTGACGAGAAGGTCACTAATAGCACCACGGTGCCCGCCAATGATCACCCATTTGAGAACAAGGAGACACTGGCACGCCATCAACCGATCAGCAACGCAAGTAGTACCGAGGATGTAAGTCCCGATGCCCAAGAAGGTGTCAAGGACGTCGAGGCAATCACGATGACCTGGAGCCGGACGCATTTGTACATGGCATATATCTTGTAAGTGAAAACACGGACAACCGAGTAGTTCGAAATTGGCAAAGTCGCTAATAATATTGGGGACAGCCTCTGGATCATCTACTTCGTCGACGCGATGAACTCAGGTGTCACCGGCGCTCTCACTCCTTATGTTACTAGCTCTTTCCAACGACACTCCTTGACTGCAACTACCTCGATCATGAGCAGCATCATTGGTGGCCTTTGGAAGCTTCCCCTCGCTAAGATTTTAGATCTTTGGGGCAGACCACAAGGTTTCTTGATGATGTCTATGGTTTTGACTTTGGGTCTCATTATGATGGCCGCATGTAACAACGTGCAAACCTATGCTGCAGCACAAGTCTTTTATTGGACTGGGTATTTATTCCATACGCCCACCTGCTCTGTAGCAAAGCTAACAGCACACACAGCTATAATGGACTCACCTACACCATGTCAATCTTCATCGCAGATACATCCGCTCTCAAGAGTCGAGCATTCGCTTTTGCGTTTGTTTCGTCTCCATACATCGCCACAGCCTGGATTGGAGGTCCAATTGCCCAGAATTTCTTGAGCGGTGCTGGTTTCCGATGGGGATTTGGAACTTTCGCAATTGTTACGCCAATCATGACTATGCCCTTGTTCCTCCTACTTTGGTGGAACCAGAACAAGGCCAAGAAAACAGGGTTGATCCAACAGAGAAACAGCGGCCGGACTACTTTCGAATCTCTTAAGCATTACGCTATTGAATTCGATGTCATTGGAGTTCTTCTTCTATGTGCCGGCCTGGCCCTCTTTCTTCTACCGTTCAGTCTCTACTCTTATCAGCCCCTTGGTTGGAAGGCCCCCATGATTATCTGCATGATTATATTTGGAGGCGTCCTTCTGGGTGTCTTCGCCGTCTACGAGAAGTATTTTGCACCAGTTGCTTACATCGATTACTCTCTTCTTACCGATCGCACTGTATTTGGGGCTTGTATTCTAAGTGGTGTTCTCTTTGTCGAATTTTACATCTGGGACAGTTATTTCCCCTCATTCCTTCAAGTCGTTAACGGCCTCAATGTCACCGAAACCAGTTACATAGTCAACATCTACAGCATTGGATCTTGCTTCTTCTCTCTCATTGTCGGCATCCTTGTTCGGATTACCGGAAGATTTAAGTGGCTGGCACTCTACTTTGGTGTTCCATTCACGATTCTTGGAGTTGGCTTGATGATTGCTTTCCGTCAACCAGACCAAAACATCGGCTACATCATTATGTGTCAAATCTTCATCGCTTTCTCTGGAGGAACCCTTGTCATTTGCGAGCAAATGGCTGCTATGGCTGCGGCTTCTCATCAACAAGTTGCTACTGTCATTGCAGTTGAGGGTATGTTTGCTTCCGTCGGTGGAGCAATTGGTTCTACTGTCGCTGCTGCTATCTGGACTGGAGTGTTCCCTAAACAGCTTGCCAAGAACCTTCCAACAGAAGCTCTACCAGAACTGACAACCATTTATGGGAGTTTGACCACCCAGCTCTCATACCCGATTGGCAATGCCACTCGAACTGCTATCATCGAATCATATGGCGAGACACAGAAATTGATGTTGATTGCCAGTACCGCGGTTTTGGTTCTGGCTATTGGATCTGTAATGATGTGGAGAGATATCAATGTCAAGGATCTCAAGCAAGTCAAGGGGGTTGTGTTTTAGATAAAAGCTAGTTCTTATACGATTAATTGAAGGCTGGTACTTGTGAACCAATACACATCTTTTCACGAATTAAATCTTTTGTTCCAGATGATCATCGTCGGTAGCGATATTATCAGCTGGTGCGGTAAGAGACAGGCAACTGAAGGAGACCCGTCTCGTTACGATATTTTCTCGGGCAACATTTCAAAATTCGATATGGTTCATACATCAGTGATAACAGCGATCTTCTGTGAAACCCCGGCTACTATCGCAATTTCCAAGAACGCTAGAGTTCACCGTGCTGTGGCTAAGCATATCGAAATTTAGTACTACCGGTAATACAATGAATACGGTACTTCCAACTTACATCTAGTGCCATTCCCATCGCAAGATGATTAAGAACGACACTATCGAGTTTGGATACATGTCAAACGGAGAGCAGATTGCCGATGGAAATATAAAACAATCAAAAAGAAGCAAGTCTGACGAGTTTAGGAAATTAATGGGCGTCTCCTCAAGTACCTCCCGGTAGCAAACTTTCATGCTTTTTATCAAGGGATGTATCACGTGACATCAAAACAAACTACTCAATATTGACTCCCGATCAGCGTAAATTCTCTCAACAATGTATGAATACTTATAGGGTGCGCTACATACAACCAAATCATGTCATAGTTCTACAATAGCTTCAAATTTCACGACCAAAAGAAAGCGACACATACTCTCTCGATCACCACCCATCGAGGGGCTTCCTGCCACCGGATATGCAGGTCAGAAAAAGCAATGACTTGCAAACAAACATATATATAGTTGGTCAAGGGCATCGTCAACGCCCTTGACCAACTTCTCTCTTCAAGCTACAAAACGCACTGATATAACATTTCAATCACAAGTTCAAATGCCAGAATACAAAGCTTTCAAGCCAACCAGAAGGCCAAGGCTTGTCCCTGGCACCAACCAGCGCTACGTGATTGCAAAGTATGCTCGCGACCTCGATGATGAGTACATGCAAAGTATCGATCCTCTCACTCCGGACGTACCCCCGTTGAGTACACTACACGAGGATTGCACCTTTGAGGACATCCACACCCATTGGTGGATGCTGTTGGCCAGCAATGACCACTTTGAGCCCCATCACCCTGGGGTGATGCACGCACAACAACCGACCCCATGGACATCCACGTTCTACCCCATTGGTTTCGCCAACGGCCTCGAACGGATTAACCACCTTGTCCCTGCGATGCAGAAATTCGGCATCTTTGAAAACTTTCTCGAAGGGGAATGGCAGCGCGAAGCTCGTCTAGGCATATTCTGTACCAAGGCTGAAAAACTCATTAACAATCGGGAGTGGCAGACCAGCCCATGGCATGTTTGGGGTGCCATTCTACAGCGAGAAGGACCCCGCGGAAGTCGCAACGGCTTTCGACTTCTCCTGATTGATGTTAACGCCACCGATATCTACGGCAGCATCAAGGAAGTTCATCTGAACAAGCTTACGCATATGCAAAGACGCTTTGTTGAATTCCTGACGGCCAACAACAAACGCAAGCTGAACTCGATTTGGGTGATTGGCATTGACGAGGGCAACAAGGATGGACAGTGCCTCGCTAAAACCATGGAATGGTTAGCTGATTGGCTTTGCCTTGACCAGATGAAAACATGGCCCTGGACTGATGAGTACTTGGAAAAGAAACCCTTTACTTATCGGGTGACGCGCGTTAGATCAGGGTCCATTTGGCCACAAAGCCACTTGGCGGTACCTGACGGATACGAGATCCCGCAGAGCCGCAGTCGCAGCCGAAGCCACAGTCGCACCGCAACACCAAGTTGTCCTCTTCAGTCCTCTTCAAGTCGAGTCCCAATTTGACTTGTAACTCCCCGCCCTCGTTCACTGAGCCGCAAATCGTTCACTGAGCCGCAATGAAGACGATGAGCCTCCCTCAAAACGCTCCCGAGCGTGTACACCAATAGTTGACAACCAAACCAGCGACGACGAGGCCCCTCAACTCGTTGAAGTCCTAAATCACTCCCCGCTCCCAATACAACCGCAACCAGCTAACACTGCTGAGTTCATGAAACCTATACGCTTGCCTGGCATACAGCGAGTTCTCAAGGCAGACGGCCGCCAATACCTTCGAACTATGGATGGGGATATGTACAGGGTCCACCCAGACACAAACACCATCGAGGGCAAGGGCAAGCGTAAGAAGCTCCTTGCTATTGAGGAATTCTCCAAGGAATATGCGGAGGACAACAAGAGCTGGGTAGAAGACCCCTATGTCCTCGAGATTGGAGAAGACGGCGATACTCTTATTGGCATCGACGGGGTATACGAGGATTCAATCAAGCATCCCAAGGAAGATGGAAACGTTCGAAGGTGCAATGCTTACACAAATTATCGAACTTGAGGAAGAAGAAAGCGACGTATTCGCATAGTGTCAAGGTGTAATATTAATTCCCAAATTACCCCGTAATGTCACAAATCACGTGTTGGCACGTGAAGAGTGAAGACCAGGCGGCGTCCTGACAGGTCGGGCACATCCGTAGACTTATAGCAAATAGGGATCGATTAGACTAGCTAAGCGATCCAGGGATTTCACTTGGTTATAGTCACGTGATGGACCCTTTGGATCCCTTGGGGATCCAAAGGGCTCCTGGGATCCTCTGGGATCCGGAGAACGAAGGTTCTATATAACACTGGCACATCTGCCATTAGATAGGAGCTTCGTGCTCAACTTAGTTTACATTGCATTCATTACCTTTGCTGTCTTGACTACTTTGTACAAGTGACGAGTTTACCTTTGAGTAAACACACGACCTGATAGTTGTCTTCTTTCCCGCATACCAACAGTCGAACTCGATACCTTTAGTTAGTTAGATACCGGTTTCGTCACACGTAATATGCCCCTTATCTCGGTAAGATTACAAAAACAACAACTGTCCACCCAACCTTATCCACGTGTATTTTTAATCAGGATACAACTCGTTCTCGTCATCGCTATCAATTTAATTTTCGGTCTCGTCACTACTATTTGTTGTATATTTTGTTTATCTTCATTAATATCCATGATGTCTCTAACACCGCATGAACCTGCTCCCCCCTGTAAGGGTCCCTGTAAGGGTGCGATAGCGACAAGGTCAACTGTATGCGTAAGAACTAAATTGTCTACAAAGAGTGGAAGTGATCGTAAGATCTGAGGCTATTTACAGTTCCAAGGGCACGGGCCACATCGCTTCCTCCACGTCTGTACCCTCACACCCCCCTGGAAAAATGTGTAATACACCGTAAATTTTACACTAAAATTTCATTGTATAATTATCTAATTAAATGATTAATTTCCAAGAGCGGTTCTTTATTCAAGCATGCGTATAGCAAAAAGTCCAAAACAAAATTCGGCTAATACGGATTAAGCGAAATCCGAGTGGTCTGACCTACCTAAACACGTTGCGGATAGCACGGCCCTACTTGCTTAGCCCTACTTGCTTAGCACTACTTGCTTGTGTTAATGCTGTAGTAAGCGCAAGTACCAAGTCTGAAAGTGAGATATCGCGAACTTGAGATCCTAGATGTGCATATACATAGCATCAAGGAACCACGCGAGCAGGTTCCGTTACCTATACTACTAAAACCTAACTAACAACTACTGTAGGGAATATCTCCGGTAGATACATACCAGCATTCAAACTCCACGCATCCCGTGGGTTCCTATTTTCCTAGCCTACAATATTTGCGCTCTCCTACTCAAATTTACACTCTTAAATAAATCACTTCTTGCTTCCTCGCTCTCTCTATAATAAGAACTTGTTATTATGTACCATTCATTTAACGTACTTGAAGCATATTATATAAATCTAATAATCTACACGCCAGCTGTTTACTTCCTAACTAGTTCAATAGTAATCATCCAAGAAGGATAGCTTAGAGCCTCTCGAATCTTGAAACTGCTAATCTTGTAACGCCCAAAGGTGTCCGGATTACGACCGATAGTATTAAGCCATAAATAGACGGGGTCAGTACCGGCTAGAAGAGCAAACATTTCCCCTTCAACACCACCAGCATTCGCGCGTAGAGTGGTATCCGGATCGACTGGATTGACCACTGGCAGGGCGGCTACCGCTTTCTCCATGGCACGTTGTGTGTCGGGATTTTCCACAATGTCCAAAACCAAAAAGTACCTTTCAGGCGGACGCTCGCCATCGAGCAGGTTCGTTTGCTTAGCAGCAAAATAAACGAGCTGAGATACTGGAATGGCTTTGGCAGCGACTTCTGCAACTGGAAGAGGAACGATATTACTATTCTCATCAAGTCTGAGAAAGCCGTCTGCCCCATGTACAAAGCGATTGGCGTCCCTGGTTGAGAAAATGGAATGAGCAACAATAGCCACATAGGTTTTGCCATTATTTCTTGGAGATGATCTTCCAATGCTTATCTTCACGACGGCTGAACAATGACCGCCTTGTTTCGGATTAGCGACCAGAGCAAGACCCCTCTTTCCGCGCGCTGTCATGAACTCAAATGATCGAGGCTTCCGCCATGGCCCACGGGCCCAATTGGGTAAGCGCTCAACTGCGCAGGAATCGGGATCATATATAAGGGGCTCTTCGCAGACTTCGATTTCGACCGTCACGACAGGACCTAATTCACAGTCTTCCCATTGGTCGTTCTTTCCCTTGCTACCACATTGGCCTCTGCGCGTAACAGACCTGCCATTGATTTCATCTCGAGCATAGATTTGGACAAGTCTTTTCGGCTGGGTGTTTCTGATTCGGTTCGGTAAAGGTGGATCGGGAATCTCATGAATTATTTCGATTCCAGAGCTGGAAACTGCTAGAAGCTGTTGGTAGGGCAACTAAAAGATGAAGCAAACGTGAGATTTTCCAATATTCGGGCATTTTCAAAAAACACAAGAACTGAGTGTTTTTGAGGTGTTGGAATCTTGGGAATTCTGAAGAAGGGTGGTTTTTGGCAATAATAGGTTACTCGTTGCAGGGTCTTCCGCTATAGCAAGGTCTGGGATGCCTACATAGTACCAAGCTGAAAATAGATCGGTAAATTTAACTTGGAAATAGGCTCTATATTAATTGGTTTTGAGTCTTTATATTTTTATTACCCCGTATCCCAGAGCTCGTTATCATCAATTTGGCTTTGGGCTGTATATAAATGTTGAATTGTCATGAATTATTGAACGTAGATTTGCGACCATTCGCACGAGCGACGGTCCATTCGCACGAGCGACGGTCCATTCGCCTGTTCAATTTGTATACCCCTTTCTTTCTACCACGACACATTCATTTTGCAATTCTTTTTCCGCCATGTTTCTTCTCACTTACACTCTTTTTATCATACTTATTTGGAAACTGGCCACCGGCGCAGATGTAGATACTACTTTTGTGACAGTCTATTCGACGGCATGGATTATCGAGGAGAGACCTGGTGTCGGTTGGGACATAGCAGTAAGTTGTATTCATTTGCCAACAGTGGTCGGTTCTTGAAACTGAGACGTGTTTTTACCCGTTCAAGGCGAGGAGGACTGACAATTCTGTTATAATAGAGATATCAAGCGAAACTTGCTGTCCCGCACAAGTGTAGACTGATACAACGGGAGATATTCAACTCCTTCTTCTTTGTTGGTGGATCGTTCGAGGCCCAATGTATATCCCGAGGATTTGATGAAGTTTTGATCACGAAGGACATTCTTGTAACATTGGAAGGCATGGATCCCGTCTCCAAAGTCTGGCAGATGGATTTTCCCGACAAGACCGAGAAAGCGCCTGATGAAGAACCAGAGCCGTTGCCAGACTCGCTTAGGACGCCCGTACCAAGTAGCCTACCAAGTGGTTTACCCCTAAGGCGAAGAACGAGGCCGAAGGTCAAGACACGCCAACCGTGGGACAAGCGAGCCCAACCGAAAGTGGAAGAAGAGCCAGTCGCATCGACATCATTCACAACACATGTCACGACGGGCGTGGATAAAGTCCATGCGGCAGGGTTTTTGGGGACTGGCATTCGAATTGCGGTCATTGATAAAGACTTTAATATCCAAGGACACTCGGCTTTCTCGAAGACCAAAATTGCGTACAGGTATAGCGTGGTCGATGGCAGCTCGAACGTAGAGACTATCCCCGGCGACTGTGTGGAAAGTCATGGGACCACCGTCTTGGGCGTCATTGGTGCCAATAGCGACGACCCTGGTGACCAGCCATTAGGGTTCAGAGGGGTTGCACCGGACGCTTCGTTTGAGCTCATCAAGGTGGCTCGCTGTGATGTCGCTAAGTTCGACGATCAGATCATTGCTGGCCTTCTACATGCGGCGGATCGAGGCGTCGATATCATTTCCGGCTCCCTCGGAGGCGCGACTGCATATCCCGATCGTGAGTGACTCTCCTATATTGTATTGTGATGTCTGATGGAGTATAAGTATAAGTATGCTGACCTGCGGTGGCGTGCTTCTTCAGATCCTCGCGTGGTGGCTGTGGAACGAATCCAGGCGTCGGGTATCTTTGTCGCGACTGCCATGGGCAATGATGGCCGGAAAGTGGGCATCTGGGACCCCACCTCGATAGGCGGCGCCCGGGGGGTGATGGCCGTGGGATCGACGAATAACCTCAACATCCCATATTTCACGTTGCCGGCTCGGTTGAGCGACGGCTCGACCATTCCCTATGTCCCTGGGAAGGACTTTGAGCTCTCCGGCCGCCCGTTGACCTTGTGGTTCCCCAGCGATGCGCAGTGGTTGGAGGAGGGGTGCAATGAATTGCCGTGGCGGACCGACCTGCCGGCCGATGCCGAGAACACGATTCTGGTGGTTGCGCAGCGGCACTGCTGGCTCGACCCGGCCACCACGGAGCGAATCACGGCCCGGTTGGGGATTCGCAGCGTCATATTCTACGTGCCCATGTATTGGACGCACGCCGATATCCCATATCCCAGCTGGACGCCGGAGCCCGCGGATCGAGTCACGCACTATGTGACCATTACGCAGAATCATTTCGAAATGCTCCAATACAAGATGCGTGCGGCCCGGAAAGCGGGCTCGCAGTTGACGGTGACCTTTCCTCCCGAAAGCTCGACCCAGATGGTCTTTGCCGAACGGAAGAATGAAGTCGGCGGCAACTATGTGTCGTCGTTCTCGAGCTGGGGTCCAACCCTCGATGGCCGCTTACGACCAGGCATTGTCGCTCCCGGCGGGGATATTCTAACGACCTTGCCCAAATCCGAGAGCGCGGGACTGGGATGGGTCGTATCACATGGCACGAGTGCGTCCACCCCGTTCTATGCGGGAGTGGCGGCGCTTCTGAAACAGAAATTTCTCCAGGCAGGCCGGAATCCGACGTCCCTCGACATTCAAACCGCCTTGACCCTCACCGCCAAACCTCTCAATTGGTTCGACTTTGTGACAGGCGAGACCAGAGATTATCTCGCTCCCGTATATCAGCAAGGCGCAGGTTCTCTAGATGCCTGGGCCGCGTCTAATACGCGCACACTGATCAATACGACGGCGTTGGATTTCAACGATACAATGCATCGCCCACGTTCGTTAACCTTTCAGATATCACATCTCAACTCGGAGTCGACAACATATACATTTGATCACCAAGGTGCGGCATCAGGATATATTCTCGAAAGTAAAACATATGAGAAAGCGGTGGCAGACGTACGCAACGTATATGCAACAGTTCAAATTACGCCAGCCGAAGTCACCATCCCTGCCGGCGAATCAGCCATAATTACAGTCTCGATTACAAAAGATCCTGATCTACCAGACGCCGACAGGCGAGGGGTTTACTTTGGTGGATATATCGCCATTGTCGGAGCCAGAGAACGTCTACAGCTTCCATACGCCGGCTTTGGAAGCGCGTTAAGTAGAATTCCTATGATTGATAGGAAAGCAACATCCCTTGTCGCAGCAAATGAAACTCATTTTGTGGAGTGGCCGAAGGACGAAACATTCTATTGCCACTACAATGTTTCATGGCCTATTCCTCTAAGGTGTGAGGAGGATTTAGTCCCAGGAGTATCTCTAAAGACCACCATCCCTTCTGCTAAGTATCTATTCCACATCGTGGAGGTTAAATCGCGTCGTACGGTTTTAAGGTTGGAACCTGTACAAGGCCGTGGACAACCCTGGCCAAGAACATCGAAATTCCTTTGGGATGGAACTGATCGAGACCAACAGTTCGTTCCTGAAGGACGTTATTATTTCGAAGTTCTAGTCCTCCACATGTATGGAGATCTAGCGGTGGCGGACGATTATGAGATTTGGGAAAGTCCTAGTTGGTACTTGGAATACGAGGATGGGAGTACTATTCCGGACTGGAGATGCCCTACTTGTACTATACAAAGAGTCTAACAATATTTCTGTAGTAATCTCTAATAGGATCCCCTTGATGCTCAACATGTAGATCTAGATTTTGAAGTTTGTGATTCCTAATTAGGCGATAACTTGCAAGAACAATCAATTATTCAAGCATGTATATATCGCAAAGGCAAATATCAGGTTCGGCTGAGCTATGATGCAGAATGTTCGCAAGGCTTAGCGCCAAATCGCATTTCTATGATAGAAAGAGAGTTGATTTGATTGATTGATCTGTTATCCTTTGTACCATGTGTCCCGAAGGACGTCTGCAAACTGCTTATTTCTAGTATATATACACCTTCCAAGTCTGAAGTTCACACTCCCACTGTAATCACCCAGAGTAGTATGTATGTCCTTGGAACAATCTACAAACCCTCCGAAGGGTGAAGGAGCTACTTCGCTCCATGCGAAATAAGTACAGGTTTGCCGAGGGTTTTACCCTGTTGCTCGCTTGAGCTACGAGTACCCGAGAAAACTTACATTCATCCCATATACATTCATCCCAGGTGAAATAATTATAAGTTTTTTATAGTAGCACAGGCAAATACCGTAAAAGGGTGAAACTCCCTGGAAAAGGTCCATTTATTTTACCTATAACCTGGGACAAAGTAAGACGAATTGGCAGGAGTCACCAAACAGAGTTTAGGTAATTTACCTCACGTAGGGTAGCTTGGGTACCCTGGACACCATGGAACGGCCGATTACATAAACTCTTCTTCATCCATACTTCGCCATGGTAGAATAGCTAAACTCGGACATAAACGGTACTTTGTAGTCTAATACTTCGTCACACTGTCACAGGCGAAACAAATGTAACTTCCCTGTAGTAGCGTGATTACTCGAGTAAGGTTTATAACAGAGTAGAACCTCCTTAAAAAGTTATACCTAGGACGAATAAGTCAGCGGGGTATGTCTGTCTAAACTAAGTAACGTAGCGGAACGAAAAGAACGACTTTTGTATCTAGCATTTCACGGCCCTGTTATCATAATTGCAACTTTCGTAGGTGGGTTTACCCTGTAATCTACTGTATCGACACTAGAAAGGTTTGAATCATTATGCCGAAGGCGAAGTAGAAGAAGGCATGCGGAGGGTTACTTAATTACTATATAGATCAGTGATAAATTCTCATTTAAAATGACAAAATCTCAAATCTGATTCATCATATTCTCAGAGTCAGAGTCCCTTGCAAGGAGTGAACGAATTCGACAAGAACTACCTTTATCATCATGCAAATCGCTACTATTCTTCTTACGACCATGGGCTATCTAGCTACGACAGCGGTAGCAACCATCTTCACACAACAGGATACATGGCCTTATCCATCCAATGGTGTTCTTGGAAATGGTGGTGCTTGCGACCAGCCAGTCTACTGTGTAAGTACTACCTCCTCTAAAACTTCAAATATCACTCTACTACCCCATCCAAGATACATCAACAGAAACACTGATGAACAATATACATATAGGGTGCTACCATTCAAACCGCGGATTTCACAAACCCACAAGAGAAGTGTGAGAACTTTTATGTCAAACCGGATCCGAACGAGAAAAGGCCAGGGAAGAAGGAGTACATATATAGTAAATCCAAGAGCTCAGGTTTAACTGCTGGAAGTATATATGCTTCCTCTTGTGACTGTCTACTTTACTAATACATCTGTAAACCTAGGAAATCTACTGCTGTCCACCTCGAGAACTGCGCTTTGGAAGAATGGAGAATTGTTTTGGCCAGTTATTGTGTTCAAGACTGGGTAAAAGTTCCAGAGGATTGCAGGTCTCAGAAGGTACATGTCAGTATGGGTACACGTGGTTAGTGGTCTGAGGGTTTGTCTCTCTTATTACTACTGTCTTTTTCTTGTTGGTCGTCTGTGACCAAGATTAATCATGTACCGAGTGCTAGGCTTCCTTGGGTTGTTTGGTGCTTTGTAGTCTAATACTTTGTCATAGGCGAAATAAATAAAAGTTTACTATAGTACGGGGTTAAGGTTTGTAACAGGGTAGAACCTTCTCATAAAGTTACACATGGGACGAAGCAATTTAGCAGGGTGTGTCCTTATACTATGTAGTATACCGGACCGACATAAATGACACTATATCTAAGACCGTCCTGCCCGAGTTATAATATTTATAACTTTTGCAGCTACCCTAGAAAGGGTTTAATTACTATGCCGAAAACGACGTAGAAGGTTTACGGAAGGTTGCTCGATTACTGTATAGATCAGTACTGGATTCCTATTTAAACGCGGGCGCTTAGAATTCTAGATCTCATTTATTAACGTCTCATATCTTATTCATCAACATCTCAGATCTCGTTTATTAAAATCCACACGAGTCTAGGACACCAGATTGCCTATTCTATCATGCAAATCGCTACTATTCTTATGACCATAGGCTTTCTGGCCACGACAGTGTTAGCAACAATTTATACCGAGGAGGACGGGTACCCCTATCCAAAAGATGGCTATCTTGTAAATCCTAACGACGGTCAGCATCTTAGTTGCACTGCTAAGGTCTTCTGTGTACGTATTACCTTTCTCCATCAAAAACTTCATTTTGGTTTTCTACTACTCTTCCTAAATTGTAAGCATAGAGATACTGATTATGAATGACGCTGTAGGGTGGAACCGTTCAGTCTCCAGAGGGTAGCAAAGACTTTATAATAGGACGAAACTCCTGCGACCAATTTTATACAGATACCAAGTCATCCTCTCCAACGCTTACTGGGCAGCAAGATGTACGCTGTAAAGCTCGGAATGGAGGTACACCAGGTGTAAGTGTCCACGTTAAGATCTTTTAACTACCTGCTTTACTAATAGATTAATCAACCCAGTATGTCTATTGCTGTATTCCTTAGCTTTTACTCGCTCAAGAAAAGGCGGCTTGGAGGTTGGTTAGTTTGTAACATGGAAGCGTGGAAGTAAGCTTTACAAGAAGCGAAAATTGTCTTGATTTGTTATTGTGTCCAAGACTGGTTGAACGGTTAGTCGTCTGGAGTTTTGTCTCTATTGTAACCGATATCTTTTTCTTTTTAGTAGTCTATGATCCAATAGAAGTTTGTCTTGTACCTAGTGCTACGCGACCTTGGAAAGTCTGGCGAACAGGCTTCTGATTCACTTTGAGGAAATGCCATCAACAATTCAATCTTAGTACAAGAGTTTACCTTTGATCCTCTCGGGAGACTGTTACATCCTACTTGTGAGGGGAACCTGCCAAGGCCAGCACAGCCACACTCCAGCCACGTAGAGAGATGCATGCACATCTTGAGCCTCATAACTGCACATGCAGGTCTCACCTACGTACTGGCACTTCTACAGGTCGCAAAGACAGAAATAAGAAACCCCAATATGCGCGTAAGTACTGCCATTCTCTCACTGGCTGTGTCTTGTTAGTCTCATTTGAGTACAATACGGCTGGGCCGATCGTTACGATACGATCGAGTTTTGGTGTTCCTTTGCCCCGGCCAAAGTAACCAAGGTTGCCCTCGTAGGATTCTATCGTCTCTTTTCAGGATCACGAAATATGAAATAAAAATCTCATATTGAGACTCGAGGAAACCAGACTGTCGACAATGATCACTGGGTGACTTGTATAATTCGCCTCAGGTCAGGTCAACGGTCTGCAAATTGGAGGGCCAGGTCACGGGTCATGGTGGTCGGAAGGAATTACAATTCACAACCGGTAGCAAATTTTGGGCGGCCAAGGATTCATTGCGCATTTTTTACTTCAATGAGTGCGTTTGCCTTTAACTTTGACTCTTAAAACTAGCCAAGGTATAATAATTGCGCCTGCGCACATAGACTAGCATGCCGCCGGATCTTAGGACTGGGAGCTTCCAGATTTGTCGTCATCGTGACATTGGCTTGAATCCGTTCATACAAAGGTACTCGCGGCGCGGTGGAGTTTTGTTGCACTTACCCCTGCTACCCGCCTACAGTACACACGTGTTCTAAATTTCCATTACTTGAGTAAACAAAAAACACAATACTTCATTCAGGAACTAGAAAGGTCCTTGAATACTATTTTGGAATCCTGTCCTTTTTTAGTAATTTCTTCTTGTTATTATTATTATTATTATTATCATTAACTTATATAAATGCTTGAACTTAAATAATAACGGTATACTAGTCACGATATTCCACCGATGTACCTCCGTTGAGGTATGGTAATTTCACGTTTACGAACTACTAAATTAAGTACTTTATATGCCTGGTTACCCCGTGCACTTCCAGAGCTGCCCCATAGGTGTAACCGTGTGGAGTGAACCACTGCTTGCTGTGATGAATACGGAGTCAAACGGGAACTGCTGTATTGAGCGAACAACTAAGTGAGGAGAGAAGAGAGTTCCAGAGGAACGGAAGCTTAAATACAGGATGCCAGCGGCACGCACGTGCCGTGCTGCACGTGACCAGACCCCAGTCCCTCCAACTCCGTAACAATAGGGGCGGCCAGAAAAAAAGCTTCGAACTAACCAAAGAGGAGGGGGAAAGTATACAAGTGCTATATTTAACCTATCTGCAAAGTACCCTACTCTAATTGAAATTGGTTGATAATTAGAGCCTACTTTCGGAAAAGTTTTAGTATGTATATTATCCCTTCTGGTTTGGAAAAGTTATATAAAAACGTGCACTTGAAGTGGGGACAGCTTAAGGTAATAACTGGTCAAATCAAGCTTCAAATATTCAGAGACGTACTCTAGTTGACCAAATGACTATGTTCTACAGGGAAGTTGTTATAAAGGTGTATACTGTTACTCCACTTCTCGTGCACGTTTCTCTATGAAGTACAGCTCTTTTAGGCTGGAAGGGATACTCTTTCCTCGCCTGTGTTTGTCTAATTATCTGCTATCGAGGTTCTAGGTTCCTGCCAAAGTTGATCAGATCTCATGAGAGTATATCTCCACGCGAAAAAGGAAAGAAGTGCGGATGCGTTTCTACATCTTATTAGTATTTTCGTTACAATGAAGCTGATTCAAGTCATTTCATATCTCCTTCTGATCTACACGTCCCTCTCTTTGAAGATTATTATACCGGAAACTTCCGAGCCTCCTGACTCACTCTCTGATAAATCTCTTTCCCGTTCCCGTTCTAAAAGATGGGATTTCCTATGGACAGGCTTTCCAGTTGAATCGACCACTCGAGTGAAAGGCTTTCCAAAACCAGGGCGTCGAGTTTCCGGGAATATAACTGAACAAGATATGTCCGATTACATAGACCAACTCATTACAACCTCTAAATACATTGTGGAAAACGTAAAGGATGATGATGCTACGTTTATTCAATTCTTTGGGACTCCCAAAAATTATCCATATGTTATGGGTTCGTCTTTTCATTCCACTTCTCTGTGTTTATAAGACTAATCAGTCTGTAATCTACAGATGTCTTCTCTCGCCTCATAGATATAAGAAACACACGCAAGAAGGGATTTCACGAATTGCATATTGTCGCAGACATGACGGAACCCTCCCAAACAACAGGTGGGGCTGGCAATACTGGCGACACATGGGCACAATACCAATGGGTAAAAGGTATCCCGACAATAACATTTTTTCGACAACTTAAGCAAATGCCGGATCTCTTTGAGATGAAAAATGGGTTTACATTCAGAGGGCAACTAGCTCGGTTTTCAGACTCAAGACAGGGTACCATTTGGCATGAGTTCATGCATTGTGTTGGGGATAGATCTCTGTATGATCCTATAGTACCTGGGACCTGGAGATATCTAGGTACGTTTGACTTTGCTCACTTATTTGATATCGAATGTAGAATGCCAAGATTAATATCTTGACAGGTCAGTTTAGGGGGGGAGAAATTCTAGACTCTCGCGTTGCGAATGCCGCAGGTTGGGGGGAAAAGGTATATAAACCCTGTTCTTGATTTCTTGCAACAAGGCTAAGTATTATCCTAGAAATGGCTTTACAAAAAGATGTCCAACATTAAAAATAAGAATAAGATAAAGAATAGGATAAACGTGGAAAGAGCTATAGCCTACGGAGAGAGAAATTGTTTACTTCTGACCCAGTTAAAGAATGGTCCAAATCATGCGATTCACAATGCTGAAAGCTATACATTATTTGCGATTGGTAAGCCAAACACGAATGCTTTCTTGCACTGGTTTTGAAGATCAAAATGCTAATTCGAATGCCCTAAGCATTATTAACGAATTGGAATAGAAATAATCTCGTTGTGCCTGAAAGAGGGGAGGCAGATTTTTGGTACAAAACTGCTTCTCTTAGGGATCCATTTAGGGATTTGCCGCCGCCATTTAATCCCGGGGGGGAAAGACAGAAAAAATATGACAACTGGTGGATTGCGGCTAAAAGATATCACTTACCCCTTAATACAGATACGGGAGAGTAAGAAGACTGCAAGGAAGCCTGTCCGGACTATTTCTGTATTGCTGAGTAATGCTCGTATAGTAGAGCTAATTGTACTTTTGACCTGTACCCAGAGACAAGTGCGTCAAGCTACTAGACCCACCTCAAGAGCGTAATTATTCATCTCATGAATCCAAGACTATTCAAAATCTACCTGTCTCACGAACCTGAAGCCAATATCCTCCCAGCCTCAAAAGAACGTATCAAGAGCCCACAGAGGCCTCTGATTCAA